CTGCCTGCCTCTGCCTCCCAAGTGCTGAGATTAAAGGCATGTGCCACCACGGCTGCGGGACTTGTTTTCGTTTTGAGATAGGGTCTCCCTGTAGCCCCAGCTGCCCTGGAACTCACTATGTAGACCAGGCTGGCTTTGATCACACCGAGATCCTCCTGACTCTGCCTCCCGAGTGTTGGTTTTAAAGTCATGTGCCACTATATCCAGCTTGGGAAATATTTTTAATTTTATACACACACACACACACACACACACACACACACACACACACACCCCTCTGGAGGTCAGAGGACAACTTATGCCAGTTCCCGCCTTCCACTGAGGCCCAGATATCGAACTCATGTCATCAGGTTTGGCTGCAAGCACCTCTGCCCACTGAGCCATCTCACTGGCCCCAAAGTATTTTTTTCCAACTCCCATTCTCCAACCACATACAAAGAACTTCCGACTTCTTGGGCTGTACAGAAACACACAGCTGGCAGGGTTGGGGCTGAGGTGGTGTTTTATGTTGAGGACCCTGGGGCCTTGAGCTGGGTTTTGAGCTGAGGGCAGCTGGCTGCTGGTGGAGAGGGATCTGAACTATCAAGGGAAATGTTTGAGAAGACCAGGCAGGTCGGGGTGGAAGGATGAGGGTAGAAGCGGGTGTGTGGCTGTGGGCTATGCCAGCATGAGGCCTGAGCCCCCAGACGCTGACACCCACAGCCTCTGAGGTGCGTTCTTGAGAGGTGGGTTTCCTGTGAACCACAAGGCTGCTCAGCTGCCGGAGGATGTCTGTGAGTTCGAGGCCATCCTGGTCTACATAGAGAGTTCCTGGCCACCCTGGACTGCACAGTAAGAGCCTGTGTCACAAATGTAAGGATGAATGAGTGAATGAGGCGATGGGTGAGTGAGTGAATGACAGTGAATGGATGAGTGTGGGAGCGAGTGCGGGAGGCAAGGGGGTGTGCGGATGAACGCATGTGTGCCAGGACACAGCTCTGAAGGCAGAGATGGCAGTTGGCGGCCTGAGACTGTGCGAGGCCTGTGGAGAGAGGCCAGGTGGAATGCCTTCCGCTCCCCACGCAGGGCCAAGGTGTCCCCAGGGACATCGATGCTGGATCAGAGCCCAGGGTTCCAGTCTAAGTGGGCGGAGCCTTGGTGAGGGCGGAGCCTATGGTGAGGCTGGACCGTGCGGTAAGGGCGGAGCCTGCGGTGAGGGCGGAGCCTGTAACGGAGTGGGCGACTGTGGTGAGGGGTGGAGCCTGGAGCGAGGGGCGGAGCTTGTGGTGATGCGGGGTTGTGGAGCCCCGAGTGAGGCAGGGTGGACAGGCCCTGCAGTGAGGGTGGGCGGAGCCTGCAGTGTAAAGGGATTATGCTGACGCGAGAGGCCAGGAACCACTGGTCTCGCGCAGCGGGGGCGGGGCCGGCAGCCACCTTGAAGCAGCTGTGCCTGTGCCTGTGTGTCTTTCCCGGTAGGCCGGGTCCCTTCTCCCTCCCCCTGGGATGCCCGGGCAGTGGAGGGCGGGTCATCAGGGACACGGTGGGGTCTCGTTGGGGACACGGTGTGTGGATAGCCGGGACATGTCTTCCTGGGGGACACCTTGGGGACATGTACTTGGGAAAGTACTGCAGGCTTCTGGAAGGTTCTCAGCCTGTCACTCTGATGGGAAGACGTGGGGGTAGTTAGGGACAGCAGAGACCAGGGATTACGACGATGACAAACTGAGGGGACGCAGGCCTGAGACCCCAGCTCCAGCAGGCTGAGGGAGGGGAGCTTGAGACCCCAGCTCCAGCAGGCTGAGGGAGGGGAGCTTGAGTTTGAGTCTGAGGCTAGCCTGAGCTACACAGTGAGAAGTGTCTCAAAAAATAATAAAACAATGCAAATTAAAGAATAGTTGGGGCTGGACACAGTGTTTGTTGCTCAGTCAATAGAGTGCTTGTAGCTCAAGAGGCGGCGGCAGATGGATCTCTGTGAGTTCAAGTCCAGCCTGAGCTACACAGTGAGACCCAGGATGCCTTACAAAGGTGTCTTTGAATTAAGGAACGATGGGGTAGTGCGGCTTGAGGAAAGACCAGTGTAGATAGCCAGGGTAGTGGGCCTGGAGGCTGCTGCCAGGGGACACAGGTTTGGGACACTCTGTCTCCAGTCCCCCAGCCCAGGACCACTTCCCCCTACAGCTCCGGCTCAGCCCCACCGACCTTGGCTCCTGCCCACCCTGTGGCCCATGTCCCATCCCGAAGCCAGCAGTCAGAGGCAGGCGCCAGGCAAGTGCCTAGGGGTGGGGAGAGCCCAGAGCACCCTGCCCCTGCCAGGAGGTGGGGTGGGGACAGTGGTCTACCTGGCCCCATGCTTCTTTGGCTATGCATCTCAGGGCCAAGACTGGGGAAAAAGTGATCAGCGGCTGCTGCAGGCCGTGGAAAACAACGACGTGGCCCGTGTGGCCTCACTGATCACCCACAAAGGCCTAGTGCCCACCAAGCTGGACCCCGAGGGCAAATCCGCGTGAGTGCCGGAGCCCCTGGCTGGGCTGGCTGCCGGGTGTTAGAATGGGATTGACCCCTGATGTCACCCCTGCAGGTTCCACTTAGCGGCCATGAGGGGTGCAGCAGGCTGCCTGGAGGTGATGATCAGTCAAGGTGCTGATGTCATGAGCGTGGATGGAGCAGGTACTTCCAGCTGGGACACTGGGGGGCAGGCAGCACTGGACCCCAGTCAACCACAGGGAAGAGAAACCCAACTTCAAGACATCACTGTCTTCACTGGGCCCAGGGCTCAGTGGGTAGAGTGCTTACAGCTCAATTGGTAGAGAGCTTATATCTCAGAGGATATAGTGCTTGTATCTCAGTTGGTAGCATGCTCACCTAGCATGCATGAAAGCTGATTCCATCCCCAAACATCACATAATCCAGGCATGTTGAATGCATACCTGCCATCCCATCACTCAGAGAAGTAGGCACAGGAGAGAATCAAGAATTCAAGTCCAACCTCAGCTACATATGGAGCTGGAGGCCAGCCTGGACTCCATGGAATCCTGTCTCAAAACAAACAAAAACAAATAACAAGGAAAAGAGCTGTGGGGTCCAGAGAAAGCATCTGAGAAATGGCTGCAGTTGGTGTTCTGGGCAGCTCAGTCTTGGGGAGCAGTGGGGAATTCCCGGGTACCTCAGCCATGCCATCCTGTCTTCAGGTTACAACGCCCTGCATCTGGCCGCCAAGTATGGGCACCCGCAATGTCTGAAGCAGCTGTTACAGGTGCCCAGGTGTCCAATCCCCAGCCACACTCAGCTTCCAACTTTGCCTGTCTGCCTGCCACTGTGACCAGATCACATGTGACCAGATCACATGGGGGGGGGGAGGCTTTGCCTGTCTGCCTGCCACTGTGACCAGATCACATGTGACCAGATCACATGGGGGGGGGGAAGGCTTTGCCTGTCTGCCTGCCACTGTGACCAGATCACATGTGACCAGATCACATGGGGGGGGGGAGGCTTTGCCTGTCTGCCTGCCACTGTGACCAGATCACATGGCGGGGAGGGTTGAGATAGTTCCTAGGGAAGGGAGGTGGAAGGGGGAAAAAAAGAGACTGACGGCCGGACAGCTGGCTCAGCAGTTAAGAGCACTGGCCCAGAGGACCCAGATTGGGTTCCCAGCACCCACGTGGTGGCCACAGTTCTAGGGCATTCGATGCCCTCTTCTGGCCTCTGCCAGAGCATACACACATAATTGAAAATAAATCTCAGGCATGGTGGTGCAGACCTTTAACCCCAGCACTCAGGAGGCAGAGGCATGTGGATCTCTATGAGTTCCAGGCTAGCCTGGTCAACACAGGGAGTTCCAGGTCAACCAGGACTACATAGTGAGACCCTGTCTTAAAACAAAGCATAACAAAACAACCTGAAATGCAGTAGAGCCCCAGAGGAGGGGAGGGGAGGGCTGGAAAATCACTCAGTCAGGAAATGGGTGACGTCACCTCTCCTTCCCAGGCCTCCTGCATGGTGGACGTGGAGGACAGCAGCGGGTGGACAGCCCTTCACCACGCAGGTGGGTGCAGCCCAGCTGCGACCTCCCACATGCGAGGCAGGTGCTCTGCCACCCAGCCACTCCCCAGTCATTTTCTTTTAAAAAAATGTGTGTGCACTTGGGCATGGAGGCCAGAGGATGGCCTGCTTGTCATCCTTAGGAATTCCTCCCTTGAGACAAGGTCTCACTGGCCTGAAACTCACTAAGCCAGACTGGCCAGCCAGCAAGCTCCAGAGATCCTTCTGGCTCTGCCTCCCCAGTGCTGGGGTCACAAACGTGCACCCCCGCACCTGGTTTACCATGTGCGTGCTGGGCGTTCATTCCAACTCAGGTCCTTTTTCTTGTTCCAGACTGAGCCATCTGCTGTCTTCTTACCTTATAGTTTGAGACAAAGTCTCAGTCTGTAGCTCAGGCTAACCTTGAAGTCATAATCAAAAAAAGAAATGTGTCACCACACCTGGCTATGCCCTCTGGTTTTTAAAATGAAATCTTCTTTTTAAAAAAAAAATTTTTTTTTGTCTTTTTGGTGCAGAGTCTCCCTGTAGTCCAACTGGCCTGAAACTCACTATGTAGACCAGGCTGGCCTTGAACTCATAGAGATCCACCTGCCTCTGCCTCCCAACTGCTGGGATTAAAGGTGTGTGTCACCATGTAGCCTTTAAAATGAAATTTTCTTCCAGAAAATATTCACTGAGACCTATCATGCACTAAGGACCTTTAGTGTTAGACCTCCCACAGCAAACAGCGCTAAGCTCCCTCAGACATGTCGAAAGTCCTGAGATCGAGTTTGTGAATGAATAACAGATGTTTGTAGTTCATCAGAACATTAAATGTTTCAGAATTTGAACCCAGGGATTCTTGAATCTGTTCTCATCTGCATCAAACAACCTCCCAGGAGCCTCCGTCCCAGCCCCTGAGAAAGCTCATAAATGCATTTCGGGTTTAGGGGCTGGAGAGCTGGCTCAGAGGTTAAGAGCTGGCTACTCTCGCAGAGAACCCAGGTTCAGTTCCCAGCACCCACACAACAGCTCACAATAGTCTGTAACTCCAGTTCGAGGGGATACGACGCCTTCTTCTGGCCTCTCTGGGCATTTCACACATGTGATCACTTACATACATGTAGACAAGACTCTCATACACATAAAATCTTCCTAAAAACAAATGGTTTAGCGGGGTATGGTGGCACACATCTGTCATCCTAGCACTCAGGAGGCTGAGGCAGGAAGATGGTCAGTCCAAGGCTAGCCTGGGCTACACAGTGAGTTCGAGGCCAGCCTGGGCTATACAGTGAACCCTTCTCAGCAAATAAACACTTGCCCTCCCCTCTCTCCATTGTCTGTCCCAGCGGCTGGCGGCTGTCTGTCCTGCTCAGAGACACTCTGTGCTTTTAAGGCACACCTGAACCCCCGTGACCGGGTGAGCTGCGGGGATCCTTGGGAAGCGAACTGTGCAGGCCTCCCAGGTGCATTTTGCAGTGTGGGGTCACCTGGGATTCTCACCCACTTCATCCTCCCCCTCCTCCCTACAGTCAGGTGCCACACCCCTCATCCTAGCTGCTCAGATGTGTCACACAGATCTGTGCCGTCTCCTCCTGCAGCAGGGGGCTGGAGCCAATGACCAGGACCTGCAGGGCAGGTGAGCACCTCCCCTCCCCAACCTGACCATCATGTGCTGTGTGACCTGGGACAAGTGTCTTGACCTCTCTGAGCTGGGGATCCAACTCAGTCTCTTCATCCTCTTCTAGGCCTGAGTGTGAAGGAGGGTGTGTGGAATGGGGGATGGGTCTGAGTCCCCCAGCAGCACCCCTGTACCCAACAGAACAGCTTTGATGCTGGCATGTGAGGTGGCCAGCCCCGAGACGGTGGAACTGCTTCTGCAGAGTGGAGCCCAGCTGGGCATCACCGATGCACTGGGCCAGGATGCCACCCACTATGGAGTCCTGGCAGGGGACAAATTCATCTTGCAGCTTCTGCAGGAGGTGGCTCAGCGCCCTTCATCATGCAGCGGTGTGCAGACTCCACCCCCTCATCCTCTAGGCAGTTTCTGTCATCCCCCCACTGCTCTGTTACCGATAGTTTCCAGGTACCCCAATCTGCTGAGTTATGGGAGGTTCCATGTCACTCCTACCCGAGGCAATTTCAAGGAGCCCCAGAGGACTGAGGTTGGTCTGAGGGTCGCAGTGATACCCTGGGTCAGTCCTAGTCTGAGGACTCGCCTAACCTAAGAGGTAGCACTGCCCTCAGCCTTTCAAAGTTTCAAGCCCCCCTTCCTCACACCAGCTACTTTAACATCTCTGATTTCAAATCTGGAGCAGGGAGTTTGAGGCCAGCCTGGGCTACATGAGACCCTCTTTTAAAAACAAGACAGGGAATCCAGATGTGGTGGTGCATGCCTTTAATCCCAGCATTCAGGAGGCAGAGGCAGGTGGATCTCTTTGAGTTCTACACCAGCCTGGTCTACATAGCAAGTTCCAAGCCTGCTGGGGCTACAGGAAGAGCCTGTCTCAAAAAGGCCAATTAATTAATTAATTAATGACAAGACAGGTGTGGTGATACACGCTTTTAATCTTGGGAGGCAGAGGCAGGTGGATCTCTGTGAGATTGAGCCCAGCCTGGGCTACATAGCAAGTTCTGGGGAGACCCTGTCTCAAAACATGCACACACACACACACACACAAATAAACACACAAACAAGCCCCCCCAATCACCCAGAGCCCTGATACTTGAGAATTGTGAGATCTATTCCTTCCCAGGTCCCCCAGGGCCAAACAATGGCCTTCACAGAGCTGGGAACAAAGTCCTTAGAACTGAGTGCCTAACTCAGTTTCCCCTCCCCACAGCCTCTGTGGAGGAAGACTTCGGGGAGGCCTCCTCTCAGGTACGGACTTGAAGGTGTACACTCTGCCCCACGTGCACACACCACACACACACACCCTTGCCCCAAGTTTCCTTAAAAGAGAAGACACTTGTCGCAAAGTTATATCCACGCACAACCTGTTTGGAAAGAATCTGGCTTTCAGTCTAGACAGCAGCTCATGGTTAGGGGCACTGGCTGCTCTTGAGGAGGTCCTGGGTTCAGTTCCCAGCACCCCACATGGCGGCTAACAACTGTCCATAATTCCAGTTCTAGGGGATCTGACTCCCTCTTCTGGGCTCTGCCAGCATTGCATGCATGGTGCACTTACATGCATGCAGACAAAACACAAAATTTAAATTTAAAAAGAACTTGACCCCCAGGGTACACTGCCCCATGAGGAGGCCACATGATTACCAGTAACTCCCACAGGCCGAGAGGGGACAGTGGGGGTGACTTCGAATGGTGGCTGAGGGGATGGAGGGTGGTGACAGCTGCTTTAATCAGAGAAAGAAGCAAGTGTGGCCTGAGTGAATGTAGGCGTGGCCCTCAGGTCCTGTCATATACCCTCTGCTCACCCCAGAACTCAGCATCCAGCCATGAAAAACGAGGTGCCCTCAAGAAGCGGAAGGCCCCCCAGCCTCCCACCGACATCCCTGTTCCGGTGAGAGATGGGGAGGGATGAGGGGGCTCTGCCTCAAACGCAATATGGCGCCAGTCTGCGGACCTCACCAAAGGCTATGGGTCCCCTGCTGGGGAGGGGAACAGGATGATCAGGATGCCTATGAGGAGATCCTACGCCTACGGCAAGAGAGAGGCAGGCTTCTGCAAAAGATCCGGGGCCTGGAACAGCACAAGGAACAGAAGAGACTGGAGGTTAAGGGACTTGGGCTTCAGGGTGGGGGAGTAATTCCCATGGAAGACCCCTTACCTTCCTACCCACCCTTTTCCCTCTCTCCCTCCTCCATCCTCTGCTCCAGAAATGAGCCCCCCCTTTCCTTCCAACAGCCCTGGCTACATCCTGCCCCAGGGCCTTTGCATAGCTGTGTCTTCTGCCCCAGGGCCTTTGCACTTGTGCCCTAGCTATCCCCTCAGCTCCCTCCTTCATGGGGCTTCTTTGTCCAGCCCCGCCCAGCCCTGCCCAGCCCTGCCCAGCCCTGCCCAGGCCCCAAAGCGCTGTCTGAACCCTGTCCACTTCTCTCTGCAGCCCCAGGAAGCAGAGGCCAGTTCGGTGCATAGCCTGGAGAGGCAGGTAGGTGGGAAGCGTTGGGTGTGCACTGCAGAATGGGTCTTACTATCCCCGGGTCTCACTGTCCCTCAGTCTCAGTGTCCCTGTCCCAGGTCCCAGTGTCCCCGGGTCTCCCTGTCCCTGGTCCCACTGTCTCAGGGTCCTCACAGGGCTGCTTGTGACTCCCCAGGTGCAGGAGCTGCAGCATCTGCTGGCAGAGAAGCAGGAGGAGCAGGAGAGCCTCGGCCGGGAGGTGGAGAGTCTACAGAGCTGCCTCTCTCTGCTGGAGGTGGGCACGATCAGGGAGGGCGGGGTCGGCGCGGGGTGGGCGGGGCCAAGGAAGGGTTGTAGGGGCAGAGGAAGGGGAGGGCAAGACGATAGGGGCGGGACCAGGAAGGTGGGTGGGACAGAGACTGGATGGGGCAGAGGGAAAGGTGGGTGGAGCCAGAGCAGAGGTGGGAGGGTGTGGGTGGGGCCAAGGTGAAAATTTGGGCGGGCCATGGTCTAAGTGGGTGAAACCTGAGTGCTGGTTATTCCAAGGTGGGCAAGGCCATTGTGTGGTTGGGGTAGTGTTGGGCGGGGCTATATCGTGGCAGGGGGCGGGGCCTCCAGTGCCCTGAGGGCCTCCCTAAGACACACAGGGCTTCACACATACACCATGGCATAAACCACAATTCCCTGTCACACTTTACACCCAGAAACATTAACACCCCGAGACACACACGTGCGAAGATGCAGACCCCACATATACACCACATAAGGAAAAATCCTAGCATAGATACACAGGACCCATCTTACTGTCACACACAGGCTCTGCACCACAAGCACAAGTATTTCTCAAAAAACATAACTCCACAAATACACATACAACTGTCCTCTTATTTTGACAGTGCTGAGACTTGAACCTAGAGCTTTGAACCCGCTATCTCAGAGTTTGCTCCTGAGCCAGTTACAGCCCCAACCTCAATAAATGTACTTAAACACTCGCACAACCAGGAAAGATGGGTGAGGTGGTACATTCTTGTCATCTCAGCACTCAGGAGATGGAGACAAGGGAGATCGGTAGTTTAAGGTCATCAGGTACATAGAGAGTTTGGGGTCCAGACTGCACTATGGGAGTCCCTGTCTCAAAAATAAATGAATAAGTAAATAAATAAATAAAGAGCCCAGGCATGGTGGCATCACACTTTAATCTCAGTATTTTGGAAGCTGAAGCAGGAGGGTTGCTATGAGCTCAAGGCCATGCTGGCTTCCATAGGAAATTCCATGCCAGCCTAGGCTATAAAGGGGACACTGTCTCTAAATACCAAAACCAAAACAAATAAGAAAAAAAAATAAAGAAACAAAACACTACAAGCAAGGCTGGGCACGTGGCTTGGTGGTGAGCACCTGCCTGGGGTTTATCTCTAGCACCTCGGTAGGAGTTTGAAGGACATGGTAGGTTCTTTTTTTTTTTGGTCTTTTTGAGACAGGGTCTCCCTGTAGCCCCAGCTGACCTGGAACTCACTATGTAGACCAGGCTGGCCTTGAACTCACAGAGATCTGCCTGCCTCTGCCTCCCAAGTGCTGGGATTAAAGGCATGCGCCACCACACCCAGCCCATGGTGGGTTCTTAATAAATACAGCCACAGCCAGTCCAGCGCTCATGGGATGTCACATAGACATGTGAGCACGCCAGTCCCTTGGGAGTTTGGGGGTAACAGGGTGCTAAGGGGCAGGACTTGAGGCTTATTTGTGTACCCCATCTATAGAACGAGCGGGAAAACACCAGCTATGATGTGGCCACCCTGCAGGAGGAGGAGGGTGAGATATCCAACTTCCCAGGTGAACCCTGTCCCCTCTTGACCCCACACTGCTACCCATACTGAGGGTTCTGAGGACTTGGGGGCAGAGCTGTGACCCTGCTGAGGGATGGATGGAGCATGACATCATGAGTGACGTCCACACACTGAATCTGTCACCTGCCTGAGGCGGTTCCAGGTCTCAGGGCTCAGCCCCTGACCCCTGTCCCTGTGCCCCATGGCATGTGTCCCCAGCCTGACCCTCTGTTCCCCTCCCACCAGGGGTTGACATGCTGCTAGCCAAGCAACTGAGCCCATCAGCCCAAGAGCTGGTGGCTTCTCTCCAGGAACAGGTGGCTCAGCTCACCAGGCACAATCAGGAGCTGATGGAGAAGATTCAGGTGGGGAAATGGAGGCACTAGACAGCTCTGGGGAACTTGGGTGGGCAGGGAGGCAGGAAAGGTGCCTTTGTGCCCCCACAGCCATGTCACCACACCTGACTGTCTCCCCACCCCTAGATCTTGGAGGAGTTTGATAAGGAGGAGGAGCAGATAGAGGCTTTGCCTGAGGTGGTTCCCCTGGTGCTGTATGACTCTCTACGGGCTGAGTTTGACCAGCTCCGAAGGCAGCATGCTGAGGCCCTGCATGCACTGGAACTGCGGGAGGTGCCCAAGGTTCCCAGAGAAGAGGGAGACCGCGGGGAGACCGTGGACAAGGGAGCCAAAACCACCCAGAATGGACCCAGCAACCCAGAGCTCAACACCAACGTGGCTCCAGGCACCATGGTGAATGGAGGCGAGCCCACAGACAAAACAACAGGGGTCACAACCACAGAGCCCGAAGCCATGGGAGCAGAAGCCACTGAAACAAAAAACAGGGGTCCAGAGGCCACAGGGAAAGATGATAGGGCAGCTGAGGCCCAGGAAACAAAACCCACAGTGGCTGAGGTCCTTGAGAGGAAGGCCACAGGAGATAATGCTGAAGTGGAGATGGCAGGAGCAGAGGCCACAGGAGTGGAGGCCACAGAAGCGAAGGAGGATCTAAGAACAAAAGCCAGTGGAGTGGGCATGGTGGACACAGGGCTTTCAGGGACACAGATCAAAAGCACGAGGGTCACAGGACCAGAGGCCACAGAAGCAGAGGCCACAGGAGTAAAAGCAGACCCAAGAGCAAAATCAAATGAAGTGGGCATGGTGGTGACCTGGCTTTCAGAGACACAGATTAAAAACATGACAGCCACGGGAGCAGAGGCCACGGACACTCCGTCCACTGTGATGCTACACCCCGGAGCTGCCGAGGCCTTTGAAAAGCTGCAGTCTGAGTTGGAGACCAGGATCCGCGGTTTGGAGGAGGCTCTCCGCCAGCGAGAGCGCGAGGCGGCTGCGGAGCTGGAGGCGGCCCGTGGAAAGTGGGAGGCTGCGGAGGCCGAGGCAGGACGGCTGCGGGCGCAGGTGCGAGAGACCGAGGACAGTGCGCTCAGCGGCGGGGACCTGGCTCAGCTGCGGGCCGCCCTGGAACAGGCCCGGGAAGATCTCCGAGACCGCGATTCCCGCCTGCGGGAACTGGAGGCCATCGTGGCCCGGCTGGACGAGGCCCGTGCCGGCCGGCTGCTGGCCGAGGAAGAGGCCCGTGGCCTCCGCGCCGAGCTGGCCAGCGGGGAGGAGGCCCGGCTGGAGCAGAGCCGGGAGCTGGAGGCGCTCCGGGAGCAGCTCCCCGGGCCGGAGGAAGAGCCCCTGGCCCTCCGCGCCGAGCTGGCCAGCGGGGAGGAGGCCCGGCTGGAGCAGAGCCGGGAGCTGGAGGCGCTCCGGGAGCAGCTGGCCACGGCCACGGCCACGAGCGAGCAGCAGCGGGCAGCGGCCGGCGAGCTGAGCCAAGCGCTGGCCGCCACCGAAGCTCGGGCTGCGGAGCTGGCCACGGCCTGCGCGGAGGCCCGGCGTGGCCTGGCCGAACTGCGCGAGGCGTCCGAGGCCCTGCGCCAGGCTTCGGTGCCCGCGTCTGAGCACCACCGGCTGCGGGAGGAGGCCCTGGAGCTGCGGGGTCGCGCGGCCAGCCTGGAGCAGGAGGTGGTGGCCACCGGCAAGGAGGCTGCGCGGCTGCGGGCCGAGCTGGAGCGCGAGCGCGTGGGCAGCGTGGCTCGCTCAGAGCATGAGAAGGTCGTGGGGGCGCTGCAGGCAGAAGTGGCCCGGCTGGAGGGACAGCTGGAGGACCTGGGGCGGAGACACGAGAAAACCAGTGCGGAGGTCTTCCAGGTGAGCGTGGCGGGTCCCCACCCCACAGCCACGAGGTGCCGGCAGCGGAAGCACAGCTGACTCTGCTAATACGATTTTCTTTTTTTAAAAAATCTTTTTGAGACAGGGTCTCCCTGTAGCCCCAGCTGGCCTGGAACTTACTATGTAGACCAGGCTGGCCTCGAACTCACAGAGATCTGCCTGCCTCTGATGTTTTGGGTTTTAAAAAAATGCACTTTTATTTCTGTGTATGAGAGATTGCCTGCTCCTGTGTAAGTGAACCTGTGTCATGCAATACCCAGGGAGGCCAGAAGAGGGCTGGACTTACAATTGTTAGCCTCCATGTGGGTGCTGGGAACCGAACCCAGGTCCTCTGCAAGAGCAGTCAGTGCTCCTAACAGCCCGTTTTATTGTTGGTTAGACAGGGTCTCCCTGTAACACCAGCTGGCCTGGAACTCACTGTGTAGCCCAGGCTGGCCTCAATCTCACAGAGATCTGCCTGCTTCTGCTCCCTGAGTGCTGGGATCAAAGGCCTGATTCTGCAAATATTTTATAATTAAATTTATTGTTGTATGTGGGTGTGAGCACGTAGTACAGTGCACATGTGGAGGCCAGAGGATGACTTTCAGGAGTTAGTTGTCTCCTTCCACCATGTAGGTCCTGGGATTTGAACTCAGGTCATTAGGCTTGGCTACAAGCATATTTACCTGCTGAGCCTTCTTGTCATCCCCATCAATATGTATGTCTGTGTGTGTGTGTGTGTGTGTGCGCGCGCGCACTCATACAGTTGAGCTTAGAGGCCAACCTCAAGACTGTCACTCCATACCCTGAATTGTTGAAACAGGGTCTCACTGTGTAGACCAGGCTGGCCTGGAAAACTCTGTGTAGCTGAAGATAACCTTGAACTCCTGATCCTCTGGCCTTAGGCCCCCAGTACTGTGATAACAGGTGTGCACCACACCACTACACCTGGTTTACTGGGTCGGGGATGGATCCATGCATGCTGGGCAAGCACTCTCTGAACTGAGCTACAACCGAGCCCAACAGCATTGTTGAAAGAGATATTTTATGTGTGTTGAGACAGAGTCTCACTAGGTTGCCCAGGCTGGCGTTGAACTCATGCTGTAGCCCACTGAGAACTTGCGATCCTCCTGCCTTGGTCTCGGAGTATGTCAGCACACAGGAGGCCTGTGCCACCAAATTCAAAAAACCAAGAACCAGAGACGGTTAGCCACCTGTCCAAGCACACTCAGCCAGGAGACCAAAGGTGCACGGCAGGGTCAGAATGTTCCCATGGGTCAGGTGGGGATCTAGAACCTTCCTGAGGTTGAATGCCTTTGTCAACATAGACAGGTAGGAACAGCCCTGGATCCAAGCCTCTCTGGGGGCTCAGTATTCCCAGAATCACACTTGGGCTTGGGCCACAGGTACAGCGAGAAGCCTTGTTCATGAAGAGTGAGAGACATGCAGCTGAGGCCCAGCTGGCCACGGCAGAGAAGCAGCTCCGGGGGCTGCGGACAGAAGCGGAGAAGGCACGTCAAGCCCAGAGCCGTGCCCAGGAGGCCCTGGACAAAGCAAAAGAGAAGGACAAAAAGGTGAGTCCACTGCCGTGAGTCACAGCTACCCTGGTTGTTGATGCTCCAATGTTTTAAAAAATATTTTATCATTAATTTTTATGTGTATGCATGTATTGCCCGCATGTATGTAAATACACCTGTGTCATTCAATGCCTACAGAGGACAGAAGAGGCCATTGGATCCCCTGGAACCAGAGTTATTGACAGTTGTTAGCTGCCTTGTGGGTACTGGGAACCGAACCCAGGCCCTCTGCAAGAGCAGCCAGTGCTCTTAACTGCTTGAACCATCTCTCGTCCCCCAGTTGTAGCTTTTTACATTTAAAAAATATTTTTTTTAATTTATTATTTTTATTTTATGTGATGAGTGTATTACCTGCATGTAGGTAAGTGCACCCGTGTTGTGCAATGCCCACAGAGGTCAGAAGAGGCTGTCGGATCCCCTGCGATTGGAGTTACAGACAGTTGTTAGCTGCCATGTGGGTGCTGGAATTTGAACCCAGGTCTTCTCCAAGAACAACCAGTGTTCTTAACCGCTGAGCCATCTCTCCAACCCCCCTTTTCACATTTTTTATTACATGTATTTATTTGTATGTGTATGTGACCCATATGTATGGAGGTCAGAGGACAGCTTTCGGGAGTTAGTTCTCTCCTTCTACTGTATGGGTCCCAAGGATCGAACTCAGGTCGTTAGACTTGGTGGCAAGCCCCTTTACCTGCTGAGTCATCTTGCTGGCCCTCAATTGTATCTTTTCATGTGTGTCCTTTTTTAATATTTTATTTATTATTTTTATTTTATGTGTATGAGTGTATTGCCCGCATGTATGTGAGTGCACCTGTGTGATGTGATGCCATGGAGGTCAGAAGAGGGCTTCGGATTCCCCTGGAACTGGAGTTAAGGACGGTTTGTAGCTGCCATGTGGGTGCTGGGAATCGAACCCAGGTCCTCTACAAGAGCAGTCGGTGCTCTTAACCGCTGAGCCATCTCTGCAGCCCTATCATGTGTGTTCTTGTGTGTGCACATGCATGTGTGGGCTTGTATGTGGAGGCCACAGTCAACCTTGGGTGTCTCTGCTAAAGTAAACCATCTCCCTCAGATTTCCAGATGACCAAACTGACCAAACTGATGGGTTCTAGAGTTGAAGTGAGAGACTCAGTCACCCCACTGGATGGCAGGAGACCCCCCGCCCCCAAAGCTGTGTGGATTACACAAGGAAACACCCAGTCCTGACTTGCTGTGTGACTTTCCTTAAGTGCTTTCTCCTCTCTGAGCTGCACTTTTCTCCTCTATGAAGTGAGGTCAGAATGGCAGTTGGCTCTCTGGTCTACAGGGCCGAGTTGCTCCATGTGGGGCATCTTCCTTTAGGGTGCTGAGCAGCATCTCTGGCCTCTGTCCACTCCATGTCAGCAGGTGCTCCCAGTTATGACAACCACACACATCCTAGACATCACCCAGTGTCCCATGGGTGGGGCGGAAAGACTCTCATTGATGATGGCAGGTATTTATTGAGTGCAGCTGAAATAACTCCATTCAGGGTCACAGTGAGAGCTGTGATCCTCCCCCGTTTACAGTTCAGGAAACTAAGGCCCAGAGAGAGAGAGAGAGATGACTCAACACTGGGGCTGTTGGACACCAGCCCCGCTGGGCCAGGTGGCTACAGACCCTAGAGTTCCCGAAGATAGGCCAATAAGGCCCCAAGAGGGCACAGTCCAGCATGTTTGCTGTGAAGGGACAAAAGTCATATTTGCTGATGTGCAGGGCAGCTAGGTTGTGGTGTCACCAAATTGTTTCATTTTCTGTGAGCAGACAGGGCCGTGTTGAATAAAACTTTATTTATAAATGTCAAAGTGTGAATTGGATTCCTCTTCAGGGACCACAGAAGACATCTTTCTTTGAACTTTTTTTGGTCTTTTGGAGACAGGGTATGTAAACCAGGCTGGCCTTGAACTCACAGAGATCCACCTGCCTCTGCCTCCCCAGTGCTAAGATTAAAAGGTGTGTGCCACTATGCCCGGCATCAATAAAAAATTTTTTTAAATGTTATTTTTATGTATATGAGTGTGTTGCCTGCATGTATGTAAGTGCACCTGTGTTGTACAATGCCAATGGAGGTCAGAAGAGGGTGTTAGATCCCCTGGAACTGAAGTTATGGACGGTTGTTAGCTGCCATGTGCATGCTGGGAATGGAACCCAGGTCTTCTGCAAGAGCAGCCAGTGCTCTTAACTGCTGAGCCGGCTCTCTAGTCCTCCTCAACTATTTTAAAAGTGAGAAATAAGGGTCTGGAGTTACTATCCGTAACTCCAGTTCCAGGGGATCCAACACCTTCTGTCTTCCATGGCCATTGCATGACTCACATGGCAGGCAATACACTTGTACATAGAAAATACAAACGAACAAATAAATACTTTATTTATTACTGAGCAGTTTAAGATAAACTTAACTTTTTTTTTGTCTTTTTGAGACAGGGTCTCCCTGTAGCCCCAGCTGACCTAAACTCACTATGTAGACCCGGCCGGCCACCTTGAACTCACAGAGATCTGCCTGCCTTTGCCTCCCGAGTGCTAGGATTAGAGGCAACACAAATAAATACTTTTAAAACTACCTGAACAAAGCTGTCTGCTCTCACACTACACAGATACCAGTTACAGGCTGGCTGGACCCTTGGGCCTGAGCCTGTGACCCTCTGCCAAGTTTTTATTCCCCACCTCTTCCTCTGGGCCTGGTGAGGCTCAGGCTGCTTACAGATACTCCCCTCAGATCACAGAACTGTCCAAAGAAGTCTTCACTCTCAAGGAGGCCCTGAAGGAGCAGCCAGCCATAGCCAGCCCCGAGGTGGACATGCTGCGGGCCCAGGTGACGGCCTTACAGCAGGGCATGGAGGTAAGGCTTCGGGTGGGAGGCCACAAAATGTGTGGGGACTGAGCAAGGCCCAGGGACACCCCTCATTCAGCCGGGGAGGCCACTCAACATGGGGACAGGACTCAGGTGAGGGTCGCACTGGACAGGACCCCTTAGAATTTTTTTAATTTTGGGGGGCTAGAGAGATGACTCAGCAGTTAAGAACACTGGTTGTTCTTACAGAAGACCCCAGTTCAAATCCCTGCACCCACATGGCAGCTAACAACTGTCCGTAACTCCAGTCCCAGGGGATCCAACAGCCTCTTCTGACCTCCAAGGGAATTGCATGACACGGGTGCACTTACCTACACGCAGGCGATAGACTCATACACATAAAATGTTTTACAAATTTTTAAATTTTTAGTCTTTTTGAGACAGGCTCTCCCTGTAGCCCCAGCTGTCCTGGAACTCACTATGTAGACCAGGCTGGTCTTGAATTCAGAGATCCGCCTGCCTCTGCCTCCCAAGTGCCAGGAGACTGTTATGGCGTGCTGGAATTAAAGGCGAGCGCCACCACGCCCGCAGCACTGCTTCTTTGAAACGAGGCTCTCACGTAGTGGAGGCTGAGCTCAAACTCAGTAGTGGAGGCTGACCCTGAACTCCTGATCTCTCTGCTTCAGCCTCCCAAATGCCGGAAGACTGGCATGCACCCCCAACCTGGGATGTGCCGCGGTTTTCTGATCCCCATTCCCTGTGCCCGCAGGAGGCGGCCCGGAAACACAGGGCTGTGGTAGCTCTGTACCGCAGCCACCTGCTGAACGCCATTCAGGTGAGTGCCTTACCTTCGCCGGCATCTGCTGCTGCGTGGGCCTCAGGAACACAGGAATTGTCAGCAGGGTGTCCCTCTCTGCCCTGTCTCTGCCTGTTTCTACTTGTCTCTGCATCTCTGTGTCTCTGTCTCTCTGTCCCTCTCCATTTCCACCTCTGCAGGGTCAGATTGATGCAGATGTGCAGCGAATTCTCAGTCAGATCCTACAGATGCATCGATTGCAGGCGCAGGGCCGCTGAACGCTGCTCGGCCTCCATCCTCCCCATCACACGACTGTAACTTCAGGGATGAACCATCTTCCCCGGACCTTAGGAAGATCAGTGAGACACACCACGCACAGGAAGACAAGCCTGAGTCGTTTCCCGCCGCAGCTCCCCAAGCTTTGCCATACTCTGTCTGCTCCCACAGCTCCCCACATTCTGCTCAGCCTGATGCTCCTCACTGCACGCTGGAGATGCTGTGGCTCCGTATATCATGCACACATCCCAGCCCAGCACCCACCCAGGAATAAAAGCATAGTGAACCCAGGCCGCAATGCTGGCTAGGGACAGAGTCAGAGCCCCTGGGCCCAAAACCCAATATGGCAATAAACACAAGTGTAATGCAATATTTAAAGAAACCAAAGTCTGGAGGCATGATTCATAGGTAAACCCCTACCTAGAATCCCCCAGAGAGGGGCTGGAGTTGTGGCTCAGGATTAGAGTGACAGCCTAGAATCCCCAGGGAGGGGCTGGGGGCGTGACTCAGGGTAGAGTGACAGCCTAGAATCCCCAGGGAGGGGCTGGGGGCGTGACTCAGGGTAGAGTGACAGCCTAGAATCCCCAGTGAGGGGCTGGGGGCGTGGCTCAGTAGAGTGACAGCCTGGAATCCCCAGTGAGGGGCTGGGGGCGTGGCTAGGGGTAGAGTGACAGCACAGAATCCCCAGTGAGGGGTTGGGGGCGTGGCTCAGGATTAGAGTGACAGGCTAGAATCCTCCAAGGAGGGGCTGAGCTGTGACATACATGAAGTCCTTAGCTCCAAAAGGTAATATTGCCAGTCTGGGATTTTCTCTTCAACATTTCAATATTTTGTTCACCTTCGGTTTTTCCTTTCTTAATCTTTTTTTTGAGACAGGCTCTCCCTGTAGCCCCAGCTGTCCTGGAACTCACTATGTAGACCAAGCTGGCCTCGAACTCACAGAGATCCGCCTGCCTCTGCCTCCCAAGTGCTGGGACTACAGGCGTGCACCACCACGCCCAGCTGGTTTTGGGTTTTTAATTTTGAGACAGGGTTTCTCCATATCTCTAGCTAGCCTGGAACTCCCTATGTAGACCAGGCTGGCCCAAGTGCTGGGGTTAAAGGCATATGTCACTATGCCTGGCGTATGTCACTATGCCTGTCTTTCTCTTTCTATTTTTGATACTGGAATGGACCCCTGGGTGCATTTCAGACTGGTCTAGTGCTGGACACCACACCACCCACAGCCTTCATTTTCTTTTGTGTTATGTTGCTGTTGTTTAGTTTTGAGCCCTGCGTAGCCTAGGTTGGAGTTACAGTCACTGGGATCCTCCTGTTTCAGCCTCCTGCGTGCTGGGATAACACTTTGCCCCCCCCCCCCAAATGAATGTATCTCTGTTCCTTTATCATCGCTTTAACCAGAGCCTGTCACAGTCCAGGTCCCAGCTCCCGGTATGTCCTGGCAACCCCCCTAAAACTCCCAGGGGCTTTCTTGGTGCTTTGCAGCTTGGCGGGAGGAGGGGCGTGTTCCTGTATGTCCAGCTGTCCCTGGGGGTTTCCCTGGGTTTCCTGAGCGGTCTCCAGGTACCTCGGGAGTTCTTATGGCCCCAGGGCTAGCAACTGTCTGAAGGCGGGGGCTTCTCCCTCCATCCACCAAGGGCCAGAGAGCTGGGGTGCGTGTGGGTGACAAGAGGGTCACCATCATCCTGCGCTGCGAACCCCTCTGGGCCTGTGCTCCTCTGTCTCTGTCTCTCTCAGTCTCTGTCTCTGTCTCTCCCTTCCCGTCCCCCTTCCTGGGGTTTCCCCGTAAGTTTCCCATCATCACCCCGGCCGGCCGGAAGGAAGGACTGCGCACCCCGCAGTGCTGGGAAGGCCGGGGTCACTTCTTCCTTTCCGAGCCCTCCCTCTGCCCCACCCAACCTCACACTCCGGGAGCTGGGAACAAGCTCTGAGCCTCCTGTACCGTCCTCATCTCCATTGCATCCTGTCGGGACCTGTTGAGAAGTCCCCCTCAGCCCCCAGCCTGGAGATGGACCCTCGTCTCTTGCTGACACTCACCCTGTGGGCCAGCTGCTCCCCTGGCCGCCCAGAGACAGGTATGTGGACGCAGTGGGGAGTGGGACACAAACCTGAGGCATGTTAGTTCGGGACCAGCCCTTGACCTTCAGGCTTGGTTTATACCTAGAGCGGGTATGAACTCACATGCCTACAGTGGTGAGACATATTCGAATCCCAAGGTAGGCGTGGGGAAACAGGCGCAGAGAAGCGGAAACTTCCTTAGCCAGGAGGAGGCAGCGAAAGCATGAGCTGGTAGATTTGTGAAGCTGGGGAGCTGGCCCTCTAGGGCTGGGGTCTCGGCGGTTAGCAGCACTGCCGGTCTTCCAGAGGACCCGGGTTTGATTCCCAGCACCCACATAGCAGCTAACAGCCGTCTGTAACGCCAGTTCCAGGGGATCCAATGTTCTCTTCTGACCTCCACGGTCATTGCACACACACAGTGCACTTACATACACGCAGGCAAAAAAAGTTCTACACTGAAAATTAAAAAAAAAAAAAAAAGTTGTGGCCGGGCATGGTGGCACACGCCTTTAATCACAGCGCTTGGGAGGCAGAGGCAGGCGGATCTTTGTGAGTTTGAGGCAAGCCTGGTCTACATAGTGAGTTCAAGGACAGCTGGGGCTACAAAAAAGACAAAAAAAAGTTGAAACGGGGGCTGGAGAGATGGCTCAGCGGTTAAGAACACTGGTTCTTCTTGCAGAAGACCCGGGTTCGAATCCCAGTGCACCCACATGGCAGATAACGACTGTCCTTAACTCCTATTCCAGGGGATCTAACAGCCTCTTCTGTCCTCCGCGGGCATTGCACAACACGGGTGCACTTACCTACATGCAGGCAATACATGCATACACATAAAATAATAAATAAAACATTTAAAAAAAAGTTGAAACGAAAAATAAATAAAAAGGCAGGGGCTGAGTGAGTAGATGTTTTCCTAGCATGTATGAGACAGGAAGCAGGAGTTCAGGGTCATCCTTAGCTTCATGGAGGCCAACCTGGACTATGTGAGACCCTGTTCTTTGTTAAAATTTTTTATTTATTATTTTTATTTTATGTCTATGAGTGTATTGCCTGCATGTATGTACATGCACCCATGTCATGCAATGCCTGCAGAGGTCAGAGGAGGGTGTTGAATTCCTTGAAACTAGAGTTAGGATAGTTGTTAGCCACCATATGGGTGCTGGGACTAGAACACAGGTCCTCTGCAAGAGGAGCCAGTGGTCTTAACTACAGAGACAGCTCTCCAGTCCCATGAGACCCTGTAATTAAAAAAGAAGGTATAAACCAAGCCTGTAGGTGGTGTGATTAATTAGAGCTCCTGTAATTAGAAAAAAAGAAAGAAAAAGACATATGATGTCCTTGACCCTCAGTTTCCTTATCTGGAAAATGGACTCATAGTTGGTGCCTTGGGGTTTTGTAGTAGGCATAAGAGCCTGTGCACCAAGTGCACAGAGGGCCTCTAGGAGGCACAGCAGTGCTGGCTGCTCATGAAGCAGGTGCTTGGCACACAGTCTGGCCTCAAAGGCTCACAAGCTCCTTTCTCTTTCTTCCTTGGGGCCCAGTAGCTCTTAGCCAGCCCAGGGTGAGGTGCCGTGCCTCTCGGTATCCCGTGGCCGTGGACTGCTCCTGGACACTGCTGCCAGCTCCCAACTCCACCTCAGGGGCCACGACCTTCATCGCCTCATACAGGTCAGTGGGATGAGAAGGGAGAGAGGAGAACACTGGCCATGGACCCCTGGGGGGTACAGAATCCCAAACGGTAAATGTTCAGAATTCCACAGTAGCCTATCCTCAAAACACCTTATTCCATGACTTTAAACCCAGTGCTCAGAAGGCAGAGGCGGATGAATCTCTGAAAGATGGGGCCAGCCTGGTCTACGTAGTGAGACTCTGTCTTTCACAAACAAACAAAACCCAAACCAAATCAAAACAGAACAAAATAACTGGGGGCTGGAGAGCTGGCTCAGCAGTTAAGAGCTCTGGCTGTTCTTGAAGAGGACTGGGTTCAGTTCCCAGCACCCACATGGTGACCTCCAACATCTGTAACTCCAGTTCCAGGGGATCTGACACCCTCTTCTGAGTTCTGCAGACATTGCACATATGGTGCACTTAGTACATGCAGGCAAGACACTCATACACATAAAATAAAAATGTATAAATCAAAAATATTTTTTAAAAAACAACAAAATCTGGTTCTAGGTCATCCTCTGCTACATAACAAGTTCCAGTTTGGGCTCCATTAGACCCTGTCTCAAGTCTCAAAAACAGCAAAACAAACAAGTCTTATATGGATCCACTAGAGAATTCTTCAGCATCCTAGTGTCCTCCTGGGGTGTGTCACTCCAAATTCCGGGTCATGGGAAATTCATGGTGTTGTGGTGTGTGACTTCCCTGGGATGGCACAAACCAGCTATGGGTGGTGTCAAGGCAGAACTCCCACCTAGCATCTGGCTGCTGTCTCACTGATCACCTCCCAGTGAGGTGCAGGAATGGCCCTAGCGTGTCACCCACAAGCCTCACAGTGCCTCCCGTGTGCACAGGCTCGGTGTGACCATCCAGCAGGAGAGCCAGCTCTGTGTGCAGCTGACCCCGGAGGCCACCAGCTGCAGCATTCCTGATGTGCACCTGTTCTCCGCAGTCCCCCATGTTCTCAACGTCACCGCGCTCAACCCAGGCGGTGCCACCAGCAGTTTCCTGGCCTTTATAGCTGAGCATATCAGTGAGTGCCCCCCCTCTCCGCGCCATCTTCAATCTGTCCAAAGTCACGACCCCTCTCCTGGCCTCCACCTGGTCCTCAGATCCTGCCCGCCCTTCATACACAGCCCATCTTCCCCGCAACAGCCACCAGGGGGAGCCTATGAGTACCACCCTCGATCCTCCATGACTCTTCCCCTCAAGAGCAAAGCCCAAGTCCTTCCTGCAGCACACAAGGTCCTGCCTGGTCCCCTCTCCGACTTCCTCCTCCCTCTGCCCCTCCAACACACCAGGCATACTAATATTGATGGCAGTATAACTCACAGTGGCCAAAAGGCGGCCCATCCCATGTGGCCCCTGTGCATGGATGTACATACAATGTCCATTTATACAATGGAATATTACTCAGGCTTGAGCAGGAGTGAGGTTTTGACACAGCCCACCCAGCTCCTGACATCTGGTCTGACTGTATGTGATGGGCCCCCTAGTTCCTTGTCTGGGGCCTGAAAGAGTGGGAGAGTGGGAAGGGGAGATGGAGGGACCGATTCAATGAATGGATGAATGAATGGATAGATGAATGGATGGATGAGTGAATAGTGAGTGATTAATATGAGAGACCAAATAATACAGTGAATGGATAGATGAACAAGTGAGCGGATGAGGGAATATGGTGATTGAGCTGAATGAGGCCCAACCTGCTTCCTGTCGCTCTGTAGTCCAGCCCGACCCCCCAGAAGCTGTGGTCCTGAGCCGGGTCCCTGGACAGCGGCTGCAGGTGCAGTGGCAGCCCCCTAGCTCCTGGCCTTTCCCAGAGGTTTTCTCTCTCAAGTACCGAATTCGCTACAGGCGACATGGTGCCTCCCGCTTCCGCCAGGTGAGGGGGTGAGGGGAAGACAGGAGGAGGGTGAGGGGAGGAGGGATGGCCAGTGTGGATGCCCTGTTTGTGCATGGAGTCCAGAGGTCCTCATTGTGTGGGGGGATTTTCCTTGGGCACTCTCTGCCTTGATCTTTAATTTTTATTTATTTATTTATTTTGGTCTTTTCGAGACAGGGTCCCCCTGTAGCCCCAGCTGTCCTGGAACTCACTATGTAGACCAGGCTGGCCTCGAACTCACAGAGATCCACCTGCCTCTGCCTCCCGAGTGCTGGGATTAAAGGCATGTGCCACCACGCCTGGCTTTTTTTTTAAATTTTTTATTTTATGTATATACGTGTATTGCCTACATGTAGGTAAGTGCACCCGTGTTGTGCAATGCCCGAGGAGGACAAAAGAGGCTGTCAGATCCCCTGGAACTGGAGTTATGGACAGTTGTTAGCTGCCATGTGGGTGCTGGGATTCAAACCTGGGTCTTTTGTAAGAACAACCAGTGCTCCTAACTGCTAAGCCATCTCTCCAGCCCCAATTTTTAATTATTTTAATTATTTATTTTCCCTCTCCTATATCTCTCTCTCTCTCTCTCTCTCTCTCTCTATTTCTTGATTTCCAATTTATTTTTTGGTCTTTTTGAGACAGGATCTCCCTGTAGCCCAAGCTGGCCAGGAACCCACAGAGATCTGCCTGCCTTAAAGGTGTACGCCATCATGCCTGATCTATTTTTTTAAAAATTTATTATCTTTATTTTATGTGTATGTGCACTTGTGCTGTGCAATGCGCGCTGAGAACAGAAGAGGGCGTTGGATCCCCAGGAACTGGAGTTATAGATGGTTGTTAGCTGCTAAGTGAGTGCTGGGAATAGAACCCAGGTCCTCTGCAAGAACAGCCAGCCCTTAACCCCTGAGCCAACTCTCCAATCAGCTAATTTTATTTTATTTTTTGGTCTTTTTGAGACAGGGTCTCCCTATAGTCCCAGCTGGCCTGAAACTCACTATGTAGACCAGGCTGGCCTTGAACTCACAGAGATCCACCTGCCTCTGCCTCCCAAGTGCTGGGACTAAAGGCCTGTGCCACTATGCCCGGCTCCACTTTCATTTCTAAGGCAGCCTCTCAGTGAGCCTGGAGCTGGCCAGACTGGTCAGTGAGGCCTTATTTCCTAGTGTCCCCACCTCCCCAGCACTGGGGTCATAGGCTGACACTGTGTCTACACCTCCCACCTCCCATCCCGGCTCTACTGTGTGTGGCTTCACAGGAGTGCTTGGGATTTGAGCTTGGGCCCTCTTGCTTGCCTAGTCACTGGCCTGTGTCCCCAGCCCTCAGTAACCACATTTGGTGCCCAGTGTTGTTCCCACCTCCTTTCAGTGACCTGGGAGTCCTCTCTGCCCACAGGTAGGGCCCATCGAAGCCACGACCTTCACCCTCAGGGCCACGCGGCCCCATGCTAGGTACCACATCCAGGTGTCAGCACAGGACCTCACCAACTATGGGGAACCCAGTGACTGGAGCCTTCCCGCTGTGACTCTGGACAAGTAGTAGGGACTTCCTAGCACCCTGAAAGAGGGCCTGGGTTCTTGAAATCATGAAATCCTGTTGTCTACTTGAAAGTGAATCGGATCCACCTGTCCTGGGTTCGAATCCAGACTTTTTATCTGCTGAGCTACTGAGCAACCTTGGACAACTGACTTTACCTCTCTGGGCCTCAATTTCCAAACCTGTGAAGTGGGGTCAACCTTACTGTTTCAGCAGTGTTGGAACTGTCAATGTGATTTATGTTTAATTAGAACATTTAATTAAATGAGAATTATTGAAAGGATTCCTGTCATCTTTTCCAATTTTAAAATGATTTTATTTCTTTTTAAATTATACGTATTTGAGCCAGGTATTGTGGCACATGTCTGTAATCCCAGCACTCAGGAGACAGAGACAGGCAGATCTCTGTAAGTTCAAGGCCAGCCTGGTATACATAGTAAGTTCCAAGCTAGCCAGAGATACATGTTGAGTCCCTGTCTCAAAAAAAAAAAGACAGAAATGAATATATTAATTAATTAATTAATTAAAATTATATATACCTGTGTGTGTACATGAGTGCAGGTGCCTCCAGAGGCCAGGAAAGACTGTCAGGTCTTCTGGAAGTTAAGGAGGGTTGTTAGCTGCCTTGTGTGTGGTGGGAACTGATCCCTTGGACTCTGGAAGAGCAGCCAGCACTGTAAACTGCCAAACTGGCTCTCCATCCCCCTTTGCACATTTTTGTGTCAGCCTCAGGTGCATTCCTTAGCTGCTCTCCACCTTGTTTTTTGTTTTGTTTTGTTTCTAAGACAGGGTCTCTCTGTATCCCTGGCTGGTTTGGAGCGTAGACCAGGCTGGCCTCGAGCTCACAGAGGATTCAAACTGAGGTCCTCACACTTACAAGGCAAGAACTTTATTAACTGAACTATCTTCTCAGGCCCAGAATGGATCGGTTATACTGAACATTTGATTTAGCTTAGGGTTCTGGAGTTTAGGGGTCCCAGAGCTGGTGCTGGCTTCTGGCAGGGGCCTCATGAGCCACCATCTTGTGTCAGAAGGGAAAAGGGACAGGGCTTCTGCAGAAGACAGAGAAGGGTTGGCTCCATCATAAACTAGAGCTCATTGGCTGCCTGTCTAACTCAACACACAGGGCTCGACTGGGGATCATGGGGAGTGCTTGCCTAACAAGGCCCCAGGAGCCACCCCAGTCCCACAGAAAGAACTGGAAAAAAGTTGCCAGCATGTACACCAGGCGTGGTGGCACAAGCCTTTAATCCCAGCAGGTGAGTTTCTCTGAGTTCAAGGCCAGCCAGGTCTACATAGTGAGTTCCATGCCAGCTGGGGCGACAGGGAGACCCTGTCTCCAAAAGACCAAAATAAATTAAATAAATAAATAAATAAATAATAAATAAAATTGCCAGCACGTAAATGTCGGGGGCTACACACTGTAGACCCTCCACTCACCTGGCCAAGAGCCAGCAGACACAGCCCAGCCTTGTTGGGAAAAGAAGGGTTAAGGGCCTCAGGCTTCTCACCCCAGCAAGCTGGAGGATGAGGCAGCAGGACAGCTCAAGGCAGTCTGGCAACCTGGATACCATGAGTAAAAGTTAAAAAGAAGACTGAGGTGTGGCTCAAAGACAAGAGGCCCTGCCTAGAGTCCCCCCAGTGAGGGGCTGGGGTCCTGGCTCAGGGGTAGAGTGACAGCTTAGAATCCTCCAGTGAGGGGCTGGGGGCGTGGCTCAGAGTAGAGTGATAGCCTAGAATCCCCAGTGAGGGGGCTGGGGCGTGGCTCAGGGTAGAATGACAGCCTAGAATCCCCAGTGAGGGGGCTGGGGCGTGGCTCAGGGTAGAGTGACAGCCTAGAATCCCCAGTGAGGGGGCTGGGGCGTGGCTCAGGGTAGAGTGACAGCCTAGAATCCCCAGTGAGGGGGCTGGGGCGTGGCTCAGGGTAGAGTGACAGCCTAGAATCCCCAGTGAGGGGCTGGGGCGTGGCTCAGGGTAGAGTGACAGCCTAGAATCCTCCAGTGAGGGGCTGGGGGCGTGGCTCCGGGTAGAGTGATAGCCTAGAATCCTCCAGCGAGGGGCTGGGGGCGTGGCTCAATAATGGGGTTTGCCATATTTCGCACACACATATACACACAATAATAAATAAACGAATGTAAAATGTATTTCAAAAAGAAAAAGTACAAAGAGCCTAGTCTGGAATCACACGCCGGTAGTCCCAGCGCTTGGGCGGCAGAGGCAGAATCTCTGAAAATTGAAGAACAGCCTGAGATACATAGTCTGATCCTGTCTCACAAGCTGGATAAAAGAGGGAAAGAGCCGGGCGTGGTGGCGCACGCCTTTAATCCCAGCACTTTGGTGGCAGAGGCAGGCGGATCTTTGTGAATTCAAGGCCAGCCTGGTCTACATAATGAGTTCCAGGACAGTTGGAGCTACAGGGAGACCCTGTCTCAAAAAGACTGAAAAAAAAAGAAAGAAAAGAAAAAAAGAGGGAAAGAAAGATTAACAGGGAATGTCCCGACTAGCAGCCGAGTCCTTGAGGACAAAACATGGTTGGCTGTAAGGCAGAACAAGCAGCAGGAGCCATCCTTTCCCATGTCCTCAAATCAGGATGCACCCGGAACCCTAATTCTGCGTCTCACTAATTGCAACTCCGGAATTCCATGGAGAAGGACTTGGATCTTGATCGGCAGGGATAGCAGCTACTGAAAACGGCAATCCGTGGATGCTGCACCAGTAAATCGCCTGAGGAAGTGACGTCAACGGAAGTGCGGGTCCGAGCGAGACCCTCAGTTAATCAGAAACCGTACGCCGTTCTTGTCGATTGTGAGGCGAAGAGAAGTCGAAGATGTCGGAAAGGAAAGTTTTAAACGTAAGTGTTCAGAGTCTAGATGTTTCCTCCGAGAGTGGACATCTGCGGAGCTTCGCGAGAGATAGGCTTTGCTTCCGGATTTTCCTATTGAAAGGTGTTTTTGCTTTCTCAACAGCCTTCCGCGGGGCGGGGCTTCCCAACGTCTTGCCAATCACATTTCTTAGGGCGGGTCTACCCGTAAACTTCCCTTCCGGTTTAGAAAATAATCACCAGTGGGGAGGCGGGGCTTAGAGTGGTTGCTTTTTGGCGTCATCTGATTGACCGTCTCGGAATTGTCTAATTGCTTGGGGGTCCTGCCTCCGGCGTCTGTAGCCAATTATGTTTTTTGTGGGCGTTCCCTGACGGGGACGGGGGTTGGGCCGGGATGGGGGTGGGGACCTTCCAGGTTGCACCAATTCCGCCCAGTTATTTGACCAATGAATGTCAGAAAGCTCTTATCCTATGTTCCCTCACCAGCTTTCCCAGATCTGAATCTTGAGTGGCTGGGATGTGAGGGTCTCAGTTTTCCCATGTGGAAAATGCGTCCATTTCGTTCTCCATCTCCTAGTGGTTTTTTAAATTCATTTTATTTGTTTATTTATTTGAGACTCCTGTAGCCCAGGCTGGCCTCCATATCACAGAGATCCGCCAGCCTCTGCCTCCCCAGTGCTGGGATCAAAGGGATGCAACTGTCTTCAAAATTACCACTTTGACCCAAATGACAGGCTCGGTGTGTAACATCGGCCTTGTACACAGGCGTGGCGGAGGGTGGACCCTGGAGCGACCCAGCCCCATCCCTGCCAGTCTATGCCAACCACACGGTTTAGCCTGAACCTAGGTTCCTTTCGGGCTGGCCACCTGGCCCACTGCCGACCCCTAGGACCTTCCTGGAACCTGCGTTGCACATGTCACGGGTGAACTGCACCCTGGGCGTCCCGGGGAGGACGTACCCAAGGCTAGTGCCACCCCTGCCCCTCCCTGCACCCCTTCCCTTGCTGTGTCTGGGATAGACCATGTGGTGAGGAGCACAGCCCCCCCCAGCAGCTCCCTGGACTGCCCCCAACGCGACTCCCAGCCCCACTGTCCTTCCCACAGAAATACTACCCCCCCGACTTCGACCCCTCGAAGATCCCCAAGCTCAAGCTCCCTAAGGACCGGCAGTACGTGGTGCGGCTGATGGCACCCTTCAACATGAGGTGAGCCCCCCACATGCCCCTGGGGGACCTGGGGACGGGACAGGGTCCCCAGATGGCTCGTGAGCACCCATGCCCGCAGGTGTAAGACGTGCGGAGAGTACATCTACAAGGGCAAGAAGTTCAACGCACGCAAGGAGACAGTGCAGAACGAGGTGTACCTGGGACTCCCCATCTTCCGCTTCTACATCAAGTGTACTCGCTGCCTGGCTGAGATCACCTTCAAGGTAGGGCACTGCCTTGCTCCCCTGGAAGGACCTGAAGGCAGTAGCCTGCAGAACCACCCATGCAAAGACAGGGCTGCTGGCTATGCAGCAGTAGTATGGGATCAGAAGCAAATGATCAAAGTGGAATATTACATAGCCAGTAAAAAACCATGGTGTATTCATTTTTTTTGTTTAGCCAGGGCCACCTGTAGCCTAGGTTGACCTCAAACTGAATGTACCCAAGGATGACCCTGAATTCCTGAGCCTTCTGCCTCCACTCTTCTGAGTGCTGGTTTGACAAGCATGTGTCACCACATCAGGTTGTGTGTGTGTGATTTATAAGGAAGAAAGTAGTTGAACGTGTGAACACAGACCTGGGAAAAAGCACAGCGGGCACAAAGGACTAAAGATGTTGGCCCAGAAATACTTGGAGGGTACAGAGTAGAAGGCAGGCAGCAGTGGAACGCCTTTACTCCCAGCAGGCAGATCTTGGTTCAGGTTGAGGACAGCCTGGTCTATGCAGTAGTGAGTTCCAGGTCAGCTGGGGTTGCAGGGAGACGTCTCCACAGCAAAACAAAACCAAAAAAAAAAAAAATTGAAGGAGGCAGGGTGGAGTCACAGCTGGTGCCAGGAAGTTGTGTGGTCTTTGTCACGGCTATGTACTATTCCAGCAGCTGTGAGCCTTAGAGAAGGCTGAGTACCACCAAAGCAGTAAGACAGCAGAGAGAAGGAACAGGAAAATTGCAAGGAGCAGCTGGGCTATGGGCAGCTGCCAGGGGTGCAGGCAGCAGTGACCGTCCTGTCCTCCCAGACAGACCCTGAGAACACAGACTACACCATGGAGCATGGGGCCACGAGGAACTTCCAGGCTGAGAAGCTTCTGGAAGAAGAGGAGAAGCGAGTGCAGAAGGAGCGAGAGGACGAGGAGCTGAACAACCCCATGAAGGTGTGTGTGGGGCCTCCCTGTCCTCCCCTCATCATCATCATCACCTACCCTGTCCTGCCCTTGTCCTATCCCCATCCTCCCTGTCTACGTCCCATCCTCCACCCCATCTCCTCCCTGTCCTCATCCCCTCCCTGTCCCCATCCTCATCCCCTCCCTGTCCCTGTCCTTCTCATCCCCTCCCTGTCCCCATCCTCCTCATCCCCTCCCTGTCCCCGTCCTCATCCCCTCCCTGTCCCCAACTCTCCCAGCCCCTCCCTGTCCCCGTCATCCTCATCCCCTCCCTGTCCCCAACTCTCCCAGCCCCTCCCTGGGCCCGTCCAGCTCACCTCCTGCCAACCACCCCCAGGTCCTGGAGAACCGCACGAAGGACTCAAAACTGGAGATGGAGGTCCTAGAAAACCTGCAGGAGTTGAAGGACTTGAACCAGCGGCAGGCGCACGTGGACTTTGAGGCCATGCTGCACCAGCACCGGCTGTCCACGGAGGAGTGCAGGCAGCAGCAGGAGGAGGAGGACGAGCGAGAGACCGCGTGAGCCAGAGTGGGCCCTACTGGGTCTTTCTAGGACTCCTGGATGTCCCCTCCCATCCTTCCTCTCCCACAGCATCTGACTTGGGATCCAGCAGCCTGACCCTGGCCATGTCCCAAGACCCAGTGTATGACCCTCTCTGGCCTTTTTTGAGGCAGGGTCTTATGTAGTCCAGGCTGGCCTCCAACTCCTCATGTAGCCCAGGCTGACCCTGAACTCCTGATCCTCCTGCCTCCTGAGTATGAGGGTGACAGGTGTGTGCCACCTTTCCCAGCTTATGGGGTGCTGGGTACAAACCCAGGGTTTCATGTGCCAGCGAGTCCTCAGCCTCTGAGATACAGCCCTGAAAACTGTCAGCTGTGGCCTGCTCCGTGCCATGCTATGAGTCAGGAACAGGCAGTGAGTGGTTGGGGACACAGGCTGCTATCCCACGGAGCAGGTTCTCAGACCTGCATCTCCTCCCACAGGGCCTTGCTGGAGAAGGCTCGCCAGCACAGGCTTCTGGAAGATTCTGACTCAGAAGATGAGGCTGCCCCCATCCCACCACGGCCGGCCATCAGGCCCAGCCCCACAACCATCCTGGATGAGGTGAGTGGGACCCCAGATCCGTGTGCCCAGGCCCTATGGGACCATAAGCCAGAAACGGCTGAGGCATCCGTGAGGCCAGACGGTGGATTGTGGCTGCCATGTTGCTGTCATGGCCTATGAGGGGTGGTGTGGACAGTAAAGCCCCCCAAAGAGCTGGAGACTGCTTAGAGGGCAAGTGACTCCCCACCAGCCCAAGGTCCTGGATTCAAATCACCATGGCCACATAGAAAGCCGGGTGCACAGGTGCCTATGACCCCAGCCCCATGGGACAAGACAGGAGGGTTCCCAGAGCATGGGCCACACAGCCTGACAGGGTCCCAGAATGCCAGGTTCAGAGACCCTGCCTCAAAATAGGTGGACAGCAACTGGGGAGACACCCCAAGTTAACCTCTGGCCTACAACACAAGGGTACATTTTAAAGAAACAGCAAAAAGGGGCTGGGAGCTGGCTCAGCAGAGATCCCAGGAGCAGTTCTGAGCACCCACATGGTAGCTAACAGCTATCTGTAACTGGTTCCAGGGGATCTGACACCCCCTTCTGACATCCCCAGGCATTGCATGCATGTATGCACACCCACAGACACACATGTATACACACAGTTAAAAGTGAAAATTAAGCACAGAGTGGTGGCGCATGCCTTTAATCCCAGCACTCGGGAGGCAGAGGCAGACAGATCTCTGTGAGTTCAAGGCCAGCCTGGTCTACGTAGTGAGTTCCAAAAAGACAAAAAAAAATCAAAAATTAAAGCCAGACCTGATGGTTCACACCTTTAATCCCAGCAGTTGGGAGGCAGAGGCAGGTGGGGCTCTGTGAGATTGAGGCCAGCCTGGGCTACACAAAGAATTCCAGGCCAGCTGGGGCTATAGGGTCTCCAAAAAATATATAATATATAATAATAAAATAATGTCAAAAAAGAAAAGAAACGTAAATCCCGGGAGCAGGCCCACAGGACATGAGGGCATAGAAGCTTCCTCCTCACTCCATGGCCCTGGGTGCCCCTCAGGGGCCTCAGCAGCCCTTCTGGCTCTCTTCTGGAGCTCCCCTCCCTGCCCTGTGGGCAGCCTTGTCTGACTGGGACCCAAACAAGGATGTGGCACCTGTCTGAGACAGGCCATTCGTTCTGCTGGGCTCTCAATATGGAACCAAGCATGTAACACGGAACCAAGCCCGTAACACGGAACCAAGCCCGTAACACAGAACCAAGCACGTAACGGGGAACCAAGCCCGTAACACGGAACCAAGCCCGTAACACGGAACCAAGCACGTAACAGGGAACCAAGCCCGTAACACGGAACCAAGTCGTAACACGGAACCAAGCCCGTAACACAGAACCAAGCACGTAACAGGGAACCAAGCCCGTAACACGGAACCAAGTCGTAACAGGGAACCAAGCCCGTAACACGGAACCAAGCCCGTAACACGGAACCAAGCCCGTAACAGGGAACCAAGCCCATAACACGGAACCAAGCACGTAACAGGGAACCAAGCCCATAACACGGAACCAAGTCCGTAACACGGAACCAAGCCCGTAACACAGAACCAAGCCCGTAACAGGGAACCAAGCCCGTAACACGGAACCAAGCCCGTAACAGGGAACCAAGCCCGTAACATGGAACCAAGCCCGTAACACGGAACCAAGCCCATAACACGGAACCAAGCCCGTAACAGGGAACCAAGCCCGTAACAGGGAACCAAGCCCGTAACACGGAACCAAGCCCGTAACACGGAACCAAGCGTGCTTCGTTCTGTTTACTGTTTTCTATTTTGTACTTTTCTTTTCAACAAGGTCTCACTCCACAGCTTAGGCTGGCTTTGAACTCACAGTCCTCCTGCCTGCCACAGCTTCCTGAGGGCTGGGACATCGGCCATGCACTGCACCCAGCTCCTGTCACTGTCTCGGGCGGTGCCCCTTACAGACAATCCCTCTGTTTAGACCTAATGGTGGCATGTACCCGTCATCCAGCACTTGGGTGTCTGGGGCTAGCCTGGGCTACAGATTGAGCCCCTACTGTATGCTGGGAGCCATGGTTGGCACCTAGGAGCCAGTGGACAGGTGGCACATGGGACATACAAGAATGGGTTCTGGGAGTTCATAGGAGTCCACCAGGTGGGGGGATGGGGCAGCCATGAACAGGGGGCTGGAACCCCAAGCCCAGGGTGATTTGGAGCCATAGAGTAGACTTGATAGTCTTACTGGAGTGCAAATGGGGTGGCAAAGACACCCCACAGCTGGCTCCCCAGGCCGGGATCAGAGAGGCTGGCAGGGCCTGGACCCGGGGCAGCACCCCAACATCTGCCACCCATCACCCCGCAGACCTTGCAGGGCAAGAGGAAAATGGGCAGTGTTGGCAGCAGGAGTCGGTTGGCTGGCCTGATACTGGTCAAGAAGACAAGGACAGAAGCCAAGGGCTCAGAGGGGGGCCAGGTGCCCAACCCAGGTGAGTCAGCAGCCCTGGGTGGCAGGTGGACCCCGACTATGCTTGAAGCTTTGTAGGGTGGGGTGAGGGTTAACCCTCAGGGCAGGGGGGAGGGTTGCAGCTCAGTAGGCAGAGCCCGCCCAGCACACATGAGGGCCTGAGTTCCTGGGTTCATCTCCAGCACTCCCAAAGCCAGGTGACATGGATCACATCTGTCACCCCAGCACTTAGGAGGCAAGGCAGGAGATCAGAAGTTCAGGGTAAACCTGGACTGCATATGGACGTCAGGCAAGCCTGGGCTACAAGAGGGCTGTGTTGGGGGTTGACACAAGGCAGGTGATCCAGTGACACTCCTGTTATTGGTGCAAACCATGGTTCTCAGAGGCCGATCCCTACGTTCGGCTCGGGGAGGCTTGTATACTTGCCTGAAGCCACGCAATGGAGTAGGCACATTGTTGCTGAGGCAGGTGGTCCCAATTGACCCTTGAGCGGTACCTGTATGGGGGGGTGCTTGCTGCCGGGTGGGGTCCCCACTGCACAGATCTGCATAGGTATGTCCAGGGTGGTGGTTTTGAGGATTAAACTGGGGGTGGGGGGACCCAAGATGTGTCCTTCCTGGGGATCTCTGCAGCTCTTGCACCCCTGGGTATCACAGGCCAATGAAGGCCAGGACTGTGGCTGATGTGCCTTTTCCCTGCAGGGGCCCCCAGCAGCGGGACAGCAGCCAGCCCTGCACCCCAGATTCCTGGCACCTCCCTGAGCCAGCTGGGTGCTTATGGAGACAGCGGGGACAGCGACAGCAGCAACTGAGCCCCAGGGATCCCAGCTTCACACAGACCTCTGTCACCCTCTGAGAAACCAGAGGAGGTGACTGTGACACCCCACGCTGACCACATCCACCACCAAGACAGCACAGTGTGGGCCTGGGGCTCCTCTAGTCTTTGAAACAGGGTCTGGGCAGGCCATTCCCCCTGTCTAAAATGGGGCTCCTCAAGAGGCACTTGCCACCTCTGGGTTCCAGCCCAGCACCAAAAAATAATGCAACAAAACCAGGCAGAATGTGGTGCCTGGGGTCTGCCCCCCTCCCCCAGGCATGCACAGAACTGGCCTGGGCACTAGCCACTCGGCATGGCATTTTTTTATGCACAATCCAGCTTTTTCAAGTCTATTTTCTAATACTGTAACACAGTGACAGAGGCTGGGCCTGTTGAATGAAACCGGGTGAACCAAGCATGGATGGCAAGGTGGATTTTTTTTTTTTGGAGTGGGGGATTAAGAGACAGGGTCTCACATAGCCCAGGCGGGCCTCCTGTGCACTGCGTAGCTGAGGATGAGCCTGAACTGGTCCTGCTTCTGCCTCTGCCTCCCAGTGCTGGGCTGACAGGCATGCAGCTTACATCCTGGTTCCCTAGGGGTCTTGTCCTTTCACCCCGTTACTGGTTCCTTCTCTCCTGTGGAGGTTCCAAAATGAAGAGGGGTTGGTGCCCCCCAACATCCGGCCCTCCCCCAGGCAGTCACCCTGCCTCAGGAGCTGACAGGTCTCCCCCACATCTCATTGCCCACTCTGCACATGCCCCTCACTGCCCCGTGAGCAGTGGGCTGGTAGGGTGAAGGCTCTGGGCTGGGTCTGTGGGGCCTCCTTGGACTGGGGACCTTGAAATTGGCCAGGCCTCCTCCTTTAGGCCGGAGCTTTAGGGAGTGTGTGAAGACTTACCCTCCGTCAGAATGGAAGTTCTGGTGCCTTGTTTCGGCCATCAGACTGTGCCAAGTGAGGCCCTGTCTCCCCATTAGGCAGGCTTTGAGGCTGACCATGGGCCACCTTGTCCCCCATCCTGGACCCTCCTGTCCTGGAGTCTCACCACCTGCCCCCTCTCCGTCTAGCTCCTTCCTGAAGGCCCATTTAGTCTGTGTGCACATACCGAGTGCCTGCTGTGTTCCACACACTGAAACATCACAGCCCTGAACAGGAGTACGGTACACAAGGACCTTGCACTCAATGGGACCCAGACACAAAGAGGCCACAAGATTTGGAATTCCATGACAGGACACGCCCAGAGCACAGGAACCCACAGACAGGAAGTAGATTTCTGGGTACCAGGAGCAGGGGGAGTAGACTCCCTTTTGGGGCAACGGAACATTCTGGAACTAGACAACGCTCATTAGACACAACTTTAGTAATCCACTAAATCTGATTGATTTGTCCCCTTTCATTCTTGTGGTGTTATTGCTGTCATTTGGGTTCAGTGTTGAAAATCATCCATGGGTGACCCTCATGGGACTAGGCAACCCCAAGCTGCACCCACAAGGCCTGGCTTCGGGGGGTGTGAATTGTGTTCCAGAATCACAGTGAAAACATGAGTCAGGTGTTACCAGTAGCCTGGGAGGGGGAACTGTTAATCCCTGTCCCCAAGGTCACCATCCAAGGTCAGGTGTCTCCAAATTCTCTGAGTGCTAGAGACTCAGGGTAGGTAGGTGCTCTGAACTCCGAGCACCCGGAAAAAGAACCATCAGCTGCTCTCAAGACTCCCCTGCATCCCAGTGTCCCCTCCCTCTTCTCCATCTTCCCCACATTCAAGGTGACAATTCTTGCCTGGGCTGACTCCCTTCCTCCCCTCCCACCTCCTGGAGTCCCCACAATCCCCGCCTACTCCCATCACCAGGAGTCAAAGCTAATTGCTATTCCTGACATGGGCTGTCTTTCAAATATTTATACCGCAGACCCCACTGTTAACCCCGCAGAGGAGCCGGGCCTGTGAGGAGCTGTTGGCAGCGCCGATGCCCTGGCTGCTGAAGGCAAAACAGGACAATTACCCTGGGGGCCCTGGGGACGCGCCTGGTGGCTGATAGGAGCCTGAGGGGGAGGGGGACTGTGCCGATGGGCTTCAGTTGCAACTGGATGCTTTGCTATCTGAACCTGGTCTCCCCAACCTCAAACTCTCAGTAAGGGGCCTGGGCTTATTGGCAGAGTGCTTGTGAGTGGAGTGCTTATAGCTCAGTGGGCAAAGCACTTGCCTGGCATGTACAAGGCCCTGGGCTCAATTCCCAACACCACATAAACAAGGTGCAAGTTGTCATCCCAGCACTCAGGAGGTGTAGGCAAGAGGGTCTGGGGTTCAGGGTCATCCTGGGCTACCAGCAAGTTAGCCTGCCTGGGCTACTTGGGACCTTGTCTCAAAATACTGTTTTTAGAACCTTGGTAGTGACTCCCAGCATTCCTTCCTGAGCCAGCTGAGGAAACTGAGGCATGAGCTGTGGGCATTGCTCCATGGACCTGTCTCCCACAGGGGGACACCTCTGACTTGTGCCTTCCCCCCTTCAGTGTCCCTTGGGGCCTGGAGAACAGAGGCCCAGTGTCCACTTCCTGGACACCCCACTCTTCAGTTATTTAGGGGGCACCAGAACCAGCCACACCCCTGTCCAATTGAGGAAAGAAAAAATAAATTGACCTGCCCTTCCTTTCCCTCCATCACCCCCCAAACTGCACTTGGTTCCTTGCAAACAGAGCCACCGGGATAGGAGGGACACCCCTTCACTTCTGTCCCTGACCCTCCCCTTTTCCACCAGAAGCCACAAAGCGACAGATGTCACTGTGACCCGGACAGGCCCAGATAGCGTCCCTCTGACCCCAGCCAGCTGCCCCGCCCCGCCCCCACAGGAGGGAGGAGCCTCCTGACGGGGGTCGGGGAGGATCCCCCGCGTCCCCCCATCACCTCCCAGCTGCGACCCTTTGTGATGGAGCCCTGGAACTGTCCACCAGTTTCCACCTTGTCCCCAACCTCAAGGACGTTTGTCCTTTCCTCGTAGTGGTGGCTCAGTCGTCCGGGTCCCGTCGCCCCAGCTCCTGCTCCGCCCGCGCGCACGTCTCGCTGTCAGCCGCAGTCCGCGACCGTCTCCCGCGCATCTCCGGGTCGGAGCACAGCTGTCACCCGGGACACCCGGAGCTCGGATTTCCCTCCTCCTCCCCAGAGAAGCCGAAGGTCTGTCACCCGCGGGGGCGGGCGACAGGGGGACCTCGGGGACCCTGGGAACAAGGGGTCCCCATCCCGGGGTCCCTGGCAGTCGCGGCACAGGAGCCAGATAGGGTTACCAGGAGGTTTCCCTTTGTGAGGTGTCGGCTGGTGGGAGCAGGTTGGGGATCCCAGGAAGATTTAGGGATGGGAGAAGCGTTAGGGGTCGAACTTAGGTTGAGGGATCAAACCCGGATTCGGAATCAAACTTGATTTAGGGGTTGATCCCCGTTTAGCCTTTGGGGCTGAGTTTAGGGCTCAAACCTGGTTTAGAGATTGAACCCGGATTAAGGGTTGAACTTGGTTTGGCGCTCAAACCAAGTTTAGAGATCGCACCCTATTTATGGATAGAGACCGAGTTTGGGGCTCACACTGGGATTATAAATCAAAACTAGTGCAGGGTCACCCAACCCAGCAGGTCACCCTTGCGATCTTTGGGAGTTCAGCCAGTTTAGCTGAGGACCTGAGGATGGGCTGTGCATCGCCTCAAACGTGGATCCCAACTAGGGGATCTTGGAGCTGCCCCCAGAAAATGTGGTGGGCCCTGCAGTGCCGAGGAGGACCCCTGTTGCCACTGGATTCCCCGAGGTGACCTGGGGACCCAACACCTGCTGTCCCCTCCCCTCTTCACCCACCCTCTGCTCCCTCCCTTACCTACTCTGAGCTCCTCTTCCTCCTTCCCTTCCTCCTCCCCTGCATCTCCTCTTCCTCCCCTCCTCCTCCTCCATCTCCTCCTGCTCCATCTCCTCCTCCTCTTCCTCTTCCTCCTCCCCTCCTCCTCCATCTCCTCCTGCTCCTGCTCCCCCCCCCCATCTCCACCTCTCCCTCTCCCCACAGGCTGGCTGCAGACCTGGGGATTTCTACCTTGTCTGACACTAGCCTGTTTGGAGGTGACACGCCCAGATGGCCAGGTGGCTCCGGGACTACCTGAACTTCGGTGGCCGGCGCCCCCCTCCACAGCCACCCACCCCCGACTACAGGGAGAGTGACATTCTGCGAGCCTACCGGGAGCAGAGGGACCTGGACTTTGAGGACCCCTATGAGGACACAGATGGCCACCTGGAGCCGGATCCCACCAGACCTGGGGACACCAAGTACAACTCTCCCAAACACCGACTGATCAAAGTGGAAGCAGCTGACATGGCCAGAGCCAAGGCGTTGCTGGGCAGCCCTGAGGAGGAGGTGAGTGGCCAGGGACTCTGGGGTCCTGGGTGCTGAGGGTCAGGGGAGCCCACTCCACAAGTGATGTCAGGACTTCTGGGGGCATCAGCTGCTCCATCTCCTTGACCTGGGGATGGGAGACCACAGCCAGCTGATCCCTACCCCATGTCCTCTCCTCAGACCTTCCCTTTCCAAATCCTGGCCAGTGGTTGGACTCCCTAGGACATATCCAGCTTCCTATGAAGCTCTGCCTGGCCTGGAATGATCAGCCCATTTCACACACAGGAAGACCAGAAGGGAAAAAATGTGTTTTCATGGGCACAGGGTCTTTTCACAGGAGAAATTTTGTTTAGCTTTTGATTTGTTTGAGACAAGGTCAGTCTCATGTAGCTCAGGCTGGCCACAAAGTCTCATATAGTCTAGGATGACCTTGAACTACAGATACTTCTGCCTCAACTTCCTGAGTCCTGGGATAACTGGTGTGTGCCACTATACCTGGTTTATGTGATGTTGGGGATGAAGCCAGGAAATTCTCTAGGTGAGCAGTCTACCAACTGAGCTACAAGCACTGCCTACTGAGCTACAAGCACTCTAACAACTAAGCCTCAACCATTTTGTTTTGTTTTTTAATTTTGGCTTTTGGATTTTTTTCTTTTTTTGGAGACAGTTTCTCTATGTAGCCCAAGCTAGCCCTTGTGAGTCTCATGTTCCTGAACTCTCCGCAGTGAGAGTGACCACAGAGAAATTTAAAGAGAGTGACCACAGGCAATGATTGAAAGCCTAAGGAATCCCAGCACTTGGGAGGCAGAGGCAGGGGATCTCTGTGAGATGGAGGCCAGCCTGGTTTACATAGCAAGTTCCAGGCCAGCCTGGGCTACAGGGAGACCCTGTCTCAAAAACAGAAAGGAAGGAAGGAAGGGAGGGAGGGAGGGAGGGAGGGAGGAAGGAAGGAAGGGAGGAAGGGAGGAAGGGAGGAAGGAAGGGACAGGGAGGGAGGGAGGGAAAGAGGAGGGAATGGGGGAGAGAACTATGGAAAAGCCTAGTGTGGTGGCCTGGGCCTCTAATCCCAGCACTGGGGCAGGAGGATTCCTGGGCCTCCCTGGCCAGCCAACCTGCAGAAATGTGAACTGGCCCAGAGAGGGTCAGCAGGAAGTGCAACATCATGTAGCAGGGGTGCCCAGAGGCTTCTCCCCTAAACTTAGACCCTTTTCTCTTTCATTCCCTTACCAGCCTGAAGTAGACACTGAGTATTCAGACCCTTTTGATGCTCAACCTCATCTGCCAGTCCCAGATGGCGGGTACATGGAGCCCTATGACGCCCAGAGGGTCCTAAGTGGTGAGTGTGCAGGGCTGGGGGCAGCAGAGCTGGTTCTATGTGAGAGAGGTGACCTGTGTCCTCACCCCCCACGCAGAACTGCCCAGCAGGACTGCCCAACTCTACGACACTCCCTATGAGGAGCAGCACCCAGAGATTGAGGACAGACCCTCTTCTGGACAGAGGCCTCGGCAGAGCCGGCTCCCCTTGGAAGATGAACGGCCAGCCGATGAATATGACCAGCCTTGGGAGTGGAAGAAGGACCACATCTCCAAAGCTTTTGCAGGTACTAACAGGCCCTGGCCTCCCTCTTCCCACTGATAGAGGTAGGTTGGTGGGTCATTGTCACTGAAGTGTGAGTGGCTGACAGCTATCATGTCTCTCCCCTCAACCCCCGCTACCCTCCCCCCAGCAGACCTGCCTTCCTGGACAGGTCTTTGGAGTGACCCAAACTTAGGTCATTCTGTGTAGAACTGGCTTTTGGGGGGGGTTACTTATTTATTTACTTTGGTCTTTTTGAGCCAGATGTCCCTGTAGTCCCAGCTGGTCTAGAATTCACTGTGTAGACCAGGCTGGCCTTGAACTCACAGAGATCCACCTGTCTGCCTCCCCATTGCTGGGACTAAAGGCACGCACGACCATGCCCAGCTAAAGATATGGCTTTGATGCCCACACCAAGCCACTTTATCTTTTGGAGCCTTGGGAAATGGCTGTCATCATAGGACCAACCCAACAGGATGATTGTAGATTGAATACTGGAACTCACTCAGTGGTACAGGAGCTATTGTTTATTGAGGGTAATCAGTGTTAGGAACTGTCAGGCAGGTAGACTTGGGGGTCAGAAAATTTCTAGCTTGGATGATTCTCCAAACCTCAGTTTTGTAAAATAGGGAGACAGTAAGACCAGCTTAAAGAATGTAACTCAGGTCAGGAAGAGATGGGAAAATATAACTTGGTCCTGGAAAGTTTCATTATATTTACATTTTATTACATTCGTGTGTGTGTGTGTGTGTGTGTGTGTGTGTGTGTGTGTGTCATGGTGGGTGTCTGGAGGTCAGAGGACAATTTGCTGGAGTCAGCTCTCTCCTTCCACCATGTGAGTCTGGGGTTTGAACTTCAAGTCATCAGACTTGGCAGCAAGCTGCGTCCTCTCGCTTCCCGCAGTTCTATGACTTGGAAGGATCTGGGGTTGGGATACCAGAAGGGAGTTGGAGACCAGAGACCCCCAATTACAAACTTTCGGTTCCCACTAGTCACATCTGGTTTATGGTAGAGACATGGCCCCACCCCCGCAGGGCACACTGGACTCCACCCTTTCTATTCTGATCCCCTCAGTACAGTTTGATGGTCCTGACTGGGAACGGACCCCAGGCTCCACCAAGGAGCCCCGGAGACCCCAACCTGCGGAGCGTGTGGACACGACCCTGCCCCTAGAGAAGCAGCCGTGAGTGGAGACTGGAGGGAGGATGGCCACAGGAGCCCCCATAGCTGTCCAGAGCTTTTTAGAATAGGGTCTTCCCGTAGCCCCAACTGGCCTCCATCTCACGGGGTCTGCCTGCCTCTCTGCCTCCTGAGCGGGTTAAAGGTGCGCCACCGCGGCAGCCCACTCTTTGATTCAGCTCTGTCATTCCCCACCCGTCACTACCCTAGGGCGTCAGGCTGTACCCCTGGGGTCCTGACCTCGGCCCTTTGGGTGTGTGACCTCAGGGACCCCTCCGCACACAGGTGGTTTCATGGCCCCCTGAACCGGGCAGAGGCTGAGAACCGTCTCTCCCTCTGCAAAGAAGGCAGCTACCTGGTGCGACTAAGTGAGACCTGTCCGCAGGATGCCACCCTATCCCTCAGGTGAGACCTGCCACCAGTTAGCCCTGGAGTTGGGAACTGCTTGGCCAGTGGGTGGAGATTGAGGGCCAAGGACGAAACTTCTGGAAGATCAGGCTTCATGATTCCAAAAGGAAGTGAGTCTCCTGTAATCAGAAGTAACCAAGAAGATAGAATGGGGGCTAGAGACCCAGCTCAGCAGTTAAGAGCACTGGCTGCTCTTACAGAGGCCCTGGGTTCAGTTCCCAGCACCCACATGGTGGCTCACAGCCACCTGTAACTGCAGTTCCAGGGGATCCCTCTTCTGGCCTCCATAGGTATGTGTGCACTCCCACAGACACAGATATATACGAAGTTAAGTAAAGAATAAAACCAGGCGTGGTGGCCCACAGCTTTAATCCCAACACTTGGGAGGCAGAGGCAGGTGAATATAAGTTTGAGACCATCCTGTGCTACATAGTTCCAGGCCAGTTCGGGCTACATAGGCAGACTCTGTCATAAAACAAACAAAAATTTTTTTTGGTCTTTTTAAGCTGTAGCCCCAGCTGGCCTGGAGCTTGCTACATAGACCAAGCTGATCTTGAACTCCCAGAGACCCACCTGCCTCTGCCTCCAAGCGCTGGTATTAAAGGTGTGCGTCACCATGCCCGGCTAAACAATTTTTTTTTTTTGTCTTATTGAGACAGGTTCTTCCTGTAGCCCCAGCTGGCCTGGAACTCGCTATGTAGACCAGGCTGGCCTCAAACTCACAGAAATCCGCTTACCTCTGCCTCCTGAGTGCTGGGACTATAGGTGTGTTCTACCATGCTTGGCACAAAAATATTTTGAATCACATTTGTTTGTTAATTTAGTGTGTGCATGTGTGTGTGCGTGTGTGTGTGTGTGTGTGTGTGTGTGTGTGTGTCTGGTCACCAAGGCAGTCAGGGGACAATTTATGGGAATCTGTTCTCTCCTTCCACTATGTGGATCTCAGGGATTGAACATGTGTTGTCAGGCTTGGCAGCAGGCCTCTTTACCCACTGAGCCCTCTTACAGGCTCAGAATTTGGCTTTAAATGGGAAAGAAACCCTCCAGAGCTGGTCCTGCAGAAAGGTGCCTGATCAGGCTTCAACCAGTGTAGGTGACTTCTGTAAAGGACAAGTGTGTCAGATGTATGTGTTCCTGGAGGCCTAGGGCCCACTCTGCACCCTGTAGGGAGGTGGCTTTGGGGGGGGATAGAGAGTTGAGTGCATCTGAGGGATTTGGGTCCCCTCTGCCTCGTGCACAGGAGCAGCCAGGGGATCCTGCATCTGAAGTTCACGAGGACTCGAGAAAATGAAGTGGTATTGGGCCAACACAGCGGGCCCTTCCCCAGCGTACCCGAGCTGGTCCTGCACTACAGTGCCCGCCCACTGCCCGTGCAGGGCGCTGAGCACCTGGCTCTGCTCTATCCAGTCATCAACACCCAGAATTCCTGATGAGCCAGTGCCCTGCGGACCCAGCACACAGGCTGCTAACCGGGAAAGGGAACAAGGAGGACCCAGGGACATACAGGCTCCCTTCACCCATTTTTAATGCCCTACATGGGTTCTAGGACCCATGGGTCAAGGCCTGTATCCCTTGGCCAGATTATAAAAAACAAAACAAAACAAAAAAAACAAAGTCATTGTCTGGCTCAGTGTAAGGAGCTTGCATTCAAGACTGACAACCTGAGTTCAAGCCCTGGGACCCACATGGTAGAAGGCAAGAACCCATTCTCACAAGTTGTCCTCTGATCTCCACACACATAAACCAATAAATGCAATAAAAAGTTTTATAAAACCCTCATTGTTTCTCTGTGCTGTGTTTTGGGGCTGCAGGGAACAGGGTCCCTGCATAATGTGAGAGGCTAGGTGACCCATAGGACATTACTGAGTTCCTAGAGCCATCTGTAGACACCAAAAACCTGGGGGACTGAAGAGAGACTGAGGCCCCACAGAAAAACAGAGCTGTCCCCAGGTCCTCATCTCAGGGACTGAGTTGAGATTGGGAATGTTGGCCATAGCTAGGAGAGTGGACCAGAGGCTGTGCTGTAGACTCAAGGGAGATGTGTCACACAGCCTCACTGGCATAATGGGGTGGCTCTGGACATCTCTGGGGCAGTGGGACCCACAAATAACCTAACCATTGTTTACAGCCCCCTGTAGAAGGCCTCAGTCTCTAAGTTCCTTCCTTGAGGAGCCCTTATTGAGGGTGTGCATGGGAGCACAGGCCTGTGAGCCCAGCTACTGGGCAGGCACAGGTATAGGGATTGTCAGTTCTAAGCAAGCCTGGGTAATTCTGTGAGAACTTGTCTCAAAATAAAAAGGGGGGAGGGGGACAAAGGCTGGGGGTGTGGCTCAGAGTAGAGTGACAGTCTAGAATCCCCAGTGAGGGGCTGGGGGCGTGGCTCAGGGTAGAGTGACAGTCTAGAATCCCCAGTGAGGGGCTGGGGGCGTGGCTCAGGATAGAGCGACAGCCTAGAGTCCCCCCAAAGAGGGGCTGGGGGCGTGGCTCAGGGTAGAGTGACAGCCTAGAATCCCCACTGAGGGGCTGGGGGCGTGGCTCAGGGAAGAGTGACATCCTAGAATCCCCAGTGAGGGGCTGGGGGCGTGGCTCAGGGTAGAATGACAGCCCAGAGTCCCCAGTGAGGGGCTGGGAGTGTGGCTAGGGGTAGAGTGACAGCCTAGAGTCCCCACTGAGGGGCTGGGGGCGTGGCTCAGGGTAGAGTGACATCCTAGAATCCCCAGTGAGGGGCTGGGGGCGTGGCTCGGGGTAGAGTGACAGCCTAGAGTCCCCAGGGAGGAACTGGGGGCGTGGCTCAGAAGTAGAGCCCTGGCATAGCACAGATGAGTCCCTGGGTTCCATTGTCAGTACTAAAAAGAAAACCATCTCTGTGAGTTCAAGGCCAGCCTGGTCTACATAGTGACTTCCGGGACAGCTAGGGCTACAGGGAGACCTGTCTCAAAAAGGCCAAAAAGAAAAGAAAACCAAACAGCCTTTATCCGTTGCCTTATGTCTCAGTCTTGCCTGACAGAAGGCTTCTCCTGTTAGACACAGTGACATCCTCACGTATGTAGTTTTTGTCCAGATCCACTTTGGGTCTCCAGGGGTGTTCAGGGCCTTCTCACATGCAATACCCTTCTGGCCTGAGCCTACCTATTGGGGCCTGAGTGAGGAGATACACTGGAGGCAGAGATGGGGTGGTCAGGCCTGGGCCTGGGGCTGGGTTGGGGACTGGATGCTGCTGGCAGGGTGCAGGCTGAGGGAAGGAGGTAGAATACACCCTCTGGGCTCTCTGATCTTCCGTGGCTTCGTCCAGCACCTTCCCAGGTGCAGGCCAGGACTCAGAGCTATGCGGGGTATCTCGGGGCCGGTACAGGATGTTGGAGTAGAAGGGGTTTCCTAGGGGAAGATGACATAGATCAAAGGTGATGATCATCCAAGAGAGGCTAGTGCTGGGGGCTGTAGTGATGGCTCAGTGGTTAAGAGCACTGGCTGCTCTTGCAGAGGACCTGGGTTCAGTTCCCTGCACACACATACATGGTGGCTAACAACTACCCATAACTCCAGTTCCAGGGGACCTGACACCCTCTGCTGTCCTCCGCGGGTTTTACATGCACATAGTGCACAGAGAGACACACTCATACACATACAATAAAAATAAATAAATAAATAAATAAATAAATAAATAAATAAATAGTAATAAATAATAACTAAGAGAGGCTTGGGGCCAGCTTCCCATGTCCCCCTTTCCCCACTATGCAGCCCACCCACTAGGTGCCCTTTGCAGCTCCTACAGTTTCTGCATCAGCCACCAGGGGGCAATAGGACCCACCACACACCAAGCTATACTCAGCATCCACTGGACCCCATCATAGCAGGTGCACTCACCTGAGTTCTCCTGTCTGCATCTCTTGCGAACACAAAGCCCAGCGCCCAACGCCACCAAGGCCACCACCACACCCCCTGTCACCAGCAGCACCCACAGGAGCCCTGGGTGGGAGGAGAAAAGGGATGGTCTGAGGGGGAGGGGCAACTAGGGTAGGACAGGTGGGGGAGGGGAGGGGCTTACCTAAAGGGATGGAAGTCTCTGGCAGCAGGGGGCCACCTGCACAGAAGGGAGTTCTGTCACAGAGGGGTTGGCACCTTGGGACCCCTCACCCTGCAGCCCCTCTCCTTCCTGTCACAGTCTGGTTGGTGGCACCTGCCAGGGTCACTGAGTTCAGCCAGGTGTCCACCTGGAACCTCAGTATTCTATACCTTGACTAACCATAGCTGCCTGGTTGGGTTATTGGTGGGCGGCAACTGAAACTAGGAATTCACAGCAGGAAACCCTCCCATCTCCTCATAAGCTCCTCTCTCCTCCCTGTGACCACCATTCCCCGCCTCTCACTGGGGAATTCCAGGCTGTGACTCCACTCCTGGGTCATGTCCCTAGCCCATCACTGGGAGATTCTAGGCTGTCACCCTACCCCTAAGCCAAAGCCTGTGATTTGGTACTAGCATGTTAAAAATAATCTCTCTAGAAGCCGGGCATTGTGGCACACACCTTTAATCCCAGCACTTGGGAGGCAGAGGCAGGCAGATCTCTGTGAGTTTGAGGCCAGTCTGATCTACCACAGTGAGTTCCAGGACAGCTGTGGCTTCAGGGAGACCCTGTCTCAAACACACACACACACACACACACACACACACACGCACACACACATATATATATTCACTCTAAATTCACTCTGCCAAGCCAGGGAAGCACTCTCAGCTATATTTTGACAGAAAAGACAGGCCCTAGGTCATTCAGCCAATGAACATGGCTGGGGCCGGATTCCAGGTCGGTATAATTGAGTAGAACCCCAATTGAATCACATAGCCTGTGATTAAGGAGTACAAAGCGTCCCCAGTCTCCCGCCTTGCAGGCTCAGAGGGTGGCAGAGGTCCTAGGAGGCTGCCAAGGCACCGTAGGGGGTGACGAGCCAGCTGGTTGCAGCTGCGCGGATGCCGGCTCTCCCTTCTCCCCTGCTGCGGCCCACGGCAGTCTGCGGCCCCAGAGAATTGCTAATTGGCCCTTCCTGGAGGACAGGATGGGGACACGCCACATAGCCATGACACAGCTCCCTTGATGTAGCCACGTGCCCCTCACCAGCTGGGATGATGGAGCCAGGTGCACCATCCCGGCAGATGGGAGCTGGGCATGTGACAGCGGCTGGAAGGCTCCAGTGAGACAAGAGAAGCAGGCTGGGGACTCGTTCCCCCAGGTCCTGACGTGACAGAAGCAGCCAGGCTGAACAAGGGTTTTCGTTGTTGTTTTATTTTGTTGGTGCTTGGTTATTGTTGGTGTTTTTTGTTTTGTTTTTGAGGTAGGTCTCCCGGTAGCCCCAGCTGACTTGGAACTCTATTTATAGCCCAAGCTGGCCTCAAACTTACTATATATAGGCCTCAATCTCACAGAGATTCACCTACCTTGGCTTCCCAAGTGCTGGGATTAAAGGCGTGTGCCACCATGTCTTGCCCTTATGAACAATTTTATATTCATCTAGAATCTGTGATTCAGGAATCTAAGATTCTAGAATCTTCCTCATTCCCCCCACATCCTCCCATCTCATACCTGTTTGTACCAGCAGCTTTGTCCCATTGCCCTTGGCCTCCTTCCAGATGGGGATCTCCAGGATGGCCTGGCACACGTAGTTGCTGCTGTCGTTGAGTCTCACATGGTCCAGGTGGAGGGTGACGTTCCCTGATGGCCACCAGGACAACTGTGCATGTAGCTCACATTTCGGGGAGCTCTGGTTGACTTTGGTGAGCAACACCATGCAGACAGACTTGCTGTCCTTGGTCCACTCTACCCGGAGCCGTTCCCAGGCCTGGCTGCATGTCACCTGGCAGTCCAGGGCCACCTTGCTACCCTGTGTCACCCGCAGAGATGGAGGCCACTGTTGCACACTAAGGGTCATGGCTTTCCACGGGTCTGGGGACAGGACTGGCGGCTGTGATGATGTGAGCTGTGTGTCAACCAACACTAGCAAGTCTGCAGAAAGGGCTTGAAAATTAAGAAAAATGTAGGAGCCACAGAGACAGCTCAGTCAGTGAAGGATTAACTGGGCAAGTGTGAAGACCCGAGTTTAAATTCCCAGAACCCATGTAATAAAGCTGGACATGGTGGCTCACTGCAGTGTCCCCAGCCCTGGAGAGGCAGAGACAGGAGGATCCCTGAGACTCACTTGCCAGAAAGCCCAGCTGAATCACGGAGCTCCAGGTCAATGAGAGACCCGGTCTCAGAATATAAGATGGGGATCCATTAAGGGAGACACTAACTTGACCTCTGGCCGCCACACACGCAAAAGATTTTTTTAGGGGCTGGAGAGACACTCAGTGATTAAAAGCACTGGCTTCTCTTGCAGAGGACCTGAGTTCAGTTCTCAGCACCCACATGGCAGCTAACAACCGTCCTTAACTTCAGTTCCAGGGGATCCAACGTCCCCCTCTGTCCTCCACAGGCACTGCATGCATGGGTGCCAAAGCCAGGGCTGGGAGCTAGATACAGCAGCACACATTTGTCATCCCAGCCCTCAGGAGGCTGAGGCAGGAAGATTTCAAGTTCCAGGCTAGCCTGTGCTACAAGGAAAGATCCTGTCTCAAATGAAAAATAAAAAGAAGACTGTGGGGACCAGAGATGTCAGGGTTCAGCGTCCAGATAGGCTGATGTGTAGGTTGTGTCCAAATTCTGTGCTGGGGGACCCTCTAAAGACACTTCTTGGGTCCTCTAAACATCCCTTAAAGGGCCTGAGCATCCAGAAGACCAGACTGAAGTTCAGAATGGCTCTGATGAAGAGGTCTGCGGCCTGAATTGGGCATGGACAGGAGGAGGCGGGTACACAGGGCAGGGAGTCTCCCAGTACTCACCCAAGATCTGCAGAAGGAAGATGGACAGCCATCCAAGGGACCCCATCCCTGACCCATCAGGCCCCAGGCTGTCCCTGTAGTACCCTGTCACCTCAGCCCCCCTCCACTCCACAGACTTCCTGCCAATGTGTCCACCCCCTTTCCACTGAGGTGACCCTGGGGGCGGGGAAGGGAGACAGCAGACACACATCCTGTGTGTGGGGAAGGGAGTCTGGTTCCTGCCACCCCGTGCCTAAGTTTCCCCCTAAAGTGTTCTATATCCCAATGGGCATGTGCATCTATGAGCACAGGGACTGGGTCCCTGGGAGTAGGAATCCTTCTAGAAGATTCTGCATGAATATATAGGACTCACAGGGGGCCAGGCAGAAGAGCAATGACAGACATTGGGGACAGTAGATGGTAAAGTCTGAGTGGTAGATTAAAATTGGGGGACTGGGACTGTGGCTCAGTGGGCAGAGTGCTGGCCTGGTATACAGGAAGCCCTGGCCCTGGCCCCAGCACAGCATAAACAGGTGTACTGAATGCTTGTCATTTTCAGCCTCCGGAGGTGGATGCAGGAGGATCATAAGTTCCAGGTCATCTTCAGCTACCCTGGGAGTTCAAAGCCAGCCTGGGCTACGTAGAACATATCAAAATGAATAAACAAACCTGGACCCCACCTGAATTATTGTGGCCCCAACAGTTTTCTTCCTTACAGTTCTGGGTACAGAACCCCGGCCTTGAGACTCCCTCAGAGGCTGACAAATATTTGCTCACAATGAGCCCACACCCCAGTCATGTGAGTAGAGCTTTGTGGTGACTTTGGGGTTTGTTCTGGTGTGAGTTCTTTGACTCTGCCTCTCCAAGGCCTGGGGCAACATTTAGGGGTGCAGCTGAGGGCTTCCGGAGGTTCTGGGGTTGCAACCCCAGGCCTCCACTTCCTTACTCGCTGCAGGACTTTAAATGGCTTAGTGTTCAGAGTCCCACACCCAACTACGAAGTGACCTCCTTTGTCACGGGGACCAAAGAACACCCGCCATGCTTCAGGAAACTGTTCTGAACCTCAAGGGCCCCCGCGGTGGCGCCTTCCTCCCCAGAGACAACCCAACTTCCCAGCCTTTATTCCAGCCCCTAAGCTGGAAACAATGTTTTTTTTTTTAAAAAAAAAAAGAAAAACAGGATAGACTAAGCCCTACCAGGTTGACACCTGAGAAGGAGCAGACCATAAGGAACATTATTAGCTCCTGGGTTTGTCTGGCGAGGTGGCGCAGGTCTTTAATCCCAGCCCTTGGCGGAGCAGAGGCAGGTGGGTCTCTGAGTTTGAGGCCAGCCTGGCCTAGATAGCAAGACCCTGTCTCAGAAAACAAAGCAACAATCACAACAACAAATCCTGGGCTGGTAGAGAGGATTCTGGAAGGAGATACAGCCTGGTCCTTTGTTGGATGTGTAGGAGTTTGCAACGAGTGAGCATTTTGCTGAAAGCTGGTTGATTATAAGAGCAGTAAAATATAAGTCTGTGATTGTGTTGGGTGGGCGGCTTGGACGGCTGAGTAGCCAAGGGGGTTGGTGTGGGCGTAAAGAAGGGACGGTCCCCAGGGCACGGCAGCCCGCCTTCCACCTCCAGGCTCTCTGCAGCTGGGTCATCTCTCCCACTAACAACCTGGTGAGCACCAGGCTCTTAGAAGGCAGAAACGCAGGACTACATTTCCCAGGAAACCCGGGGAACGTGCGCATGCGCAGTTATGTCACTGATGGAGCATTGACCGGGGGCGCGGCGGCGGCGGCAGGGCTGGCTCGGCGGGCTAATTGGCTGCCGGCACTGGAGACTCGAGGGTTTGAAGAAGGAGCCGAGGAGGGTTCCCAGGCCGGGCCGGGGTGACCTAGGGCCGCAGCTATGGAAGATCAGAGGGTAGGACCCGGGTGGGATGCGCCGGGAGAGATGCAAGGTGCTGGGGAGGGATGCAGGGTGAGCGGGGAGGAGACCAGGTGATGCCGCAGCGCCCCTCCCCCCTCACTGCACCGGTCCCCGCCTGCATCGGGGCTTCTTATTTACCACGCAACCCCCAGCCCCCAGCACCTAGCACCCCCATTATTTTATCCCCTTCTGAGGCCCCCACCTCACCCCATATTCCAAGCCCAGTCCGGACCCCGTCACTTCTCACTTAACATGATCCAGCCCTACCCAGCAGGTCACCTCCACCAGCTTCCCAATGCCCACCCCATCACCATCCCTACCCCCCCAGAAAAGGAGTTCCCGCCCCAACCCCCTGGCCTGGGTGGGAACGAGGGCCACACACTCGGCCTCCTTCCAGAGTTTTCTGGTTCCTACTGGGTTCCTCCCATCCCTGTCTTCCACAAGACCTGTGTTTCTTCTGGGCTAATTTTGTACCCCAGGGCCCAGGTGAGCTCCATTCACTTCCCAATCTGGCTTATCTCAGCCTCTCCAACCTAACCCAGGAGAAGTGTGTATCTCCATATAGCCCCTTTCCCAGGCTAGCCCTTTTGGGCTCTGGGACTTGCTTTGCCCAGGCTGGCCCCTCACTGCAGCTTAAACCTTCAAGATGTAGGTACAGGCTGGGGAGTGTTAGTGGTGCACACCTATCATCCCAGTACTTGGAAGGCAGAGGCAGGAGGATCTCTGTGAGTTCAGGACTAGCCTGGTCTACAGTAGAGAGTTACAAGATAGCCAGGGCTGGAGGGAGGCCCTGTCTCAAAAACACCACAAAAACAACCAAGCAAAGCGTTACAAAGAGGGCTAGGTGGGCAAAGTGGTTGTTGTGCAGACATGAGGACATGAGTTTGAATCTCCAGCACTCATATAAAAAGCCAGGTGCAGCTGCACATGCATGGAGCCCCAGCTCTAGGGAGGAGGACAGGAAGATCCTGGGGCTCACTGGCCAGGCAGTAAAGCTGATTCAGTCAGAGACCCTGCCTCAAAAAAACAGAGTGGAGAGTCAGGCATGGTGGCACATAGCTTGAACCCCAGCATTTGAAAGGCAGAGGCATGCCGATCTCTGTGAGATAGCCTGGGCTACATAGTGAGTTCCAGGCCAGCTGGGGCTACAGGGAGACCCTATCTTAAAAAACCAAAAATGAAATCAAGTGGAGAATGATTGATGAAGATACCCAGTGTCAGTTGGGTGGTGCTGGGCTGGGTGGTTCTGGGTTACCCTGTTGAGGCACATCCTTTGCTTCTGTTGGATCAGGAGGCTCTTCGAAAGATCATTACCACTCTGGCCGTAAAGAACGAAGAAATCCAATCTTTTATCTACTCCTTGAAGCAGATGTTACTGAATGTAGAGGTGAGCCTGATAAGCACCTGCTGAAGACGTGGGTGGAGGGGTGGCAGGAGAGAGGCCAGGGAGGCACCTACCTTGCGCTTATAGGAGGATGAGCCTGGCTGTTTACTGTCTGTTGGGACTTAGTTTGCCCATCTGCATGGGCCATGCTGGCCTTTTCTTTGTTAAGATTGTAGCCCCGGCTGGCCTGGAACTCACTATGTAGACCAGGCTGGCCTCCATCTCACAGAGATCCACCTGCATGGGCCTCTTGAGTGCTGGGATTCAAGGCATGTGCCCCCTTGTCTGGCCTTTTCTCACTCAGGCAAATTCAACCAAAGTTCAGGAGGACCTGGAAGCGGAGTTCCAGTCCCTGACATCTGTGCTGGAAGAGCTGAAGGAAGGGATGCTGATGAAGATAAAACAGGACCGAGCCAGTCGCACCTACGAGCTGCAAGTATGTGGCCACACATCCATCAGAGCCCAGCTGCCGCCATCTCCTTCCAAAGTCCATGGCTCTCTCGGGCCTCTCAATGCTTCACATAAATAAATAAATAAATAAATAAATAAATAAATTTATTTATTTATTATTTTATTTATTGGTCTTTTTGAGACAGAGTTTACCTGTAGCCCCAGCTGACCTGGAACTCACTATGTAGACCAGGCTGGCCTTGAACTCACAGAGATCCACCTGCCTCTGCCTCCCGAGTGCTGGGATTAAAGGTGTGCGCCACCACGCCCAGCTTATTATTTATTTTTATTGTATGTGTATGAGTGTGTCTGTATGTGGGACTAAGTGCACCACATACATGCAATACCCAAAAAGGCCAGAAGAGGGTGGCGGATCCTCTGGAATTGGCCCTACAGTTGTTAGCTGCCATGTGGGTGCTGAGAACTGAACCTGGGTGCTCCACAAGAGCAGCCAGTGCTCTTAACCACTGAGCTGTCTTTCCAGCCCCTCAGCACAATTTCTTAATATCCTAGAGTCTCACCCACAGTGATCATAGAATCCAGGGATTCATGTGTGGTTTTGGGCAAATGGGGTTCATTTATTTATGTATTTATTTATTTTTTAATATTTTATTTATTATTTTTATTTTATGTGATGAGTGTGTTGCCTGCATGTGTGTAAGTGCACCCCTGTCGTGCAGTACCCTCAGAGGTCAGAAGGTGTCAGATTCCCCAAGGACTGGAGTTAGGATGGTTGTTAGCCACCGTGTGGGTGCTGGGAATCGAATCTGTGTCCTCTGCAAGAGTAGTCAGTGCTTTTAACTGTTGAGCCATCTCTCCAGCTCCAACAAATGGGGTTTTAAAGAAAACACTGTGGGTGATTCTGTTGGGTTCTGAGTCAGGCGCAGCCTGTCCAGGCATGCAAGACTCCTGTCTCTCCTCCCAACCGGGGGTCCCCCAGGATGGCAGAGCTCTGGGTGGGTTTGTGGCAGCAGAGGGAACCGTCTGACCCTGCCGCCATGCTGATGACTGGCACACTATTCACAGAACCAGCTAGCTGCTTGCACTCGGGCCCTGGAGAGCTCCGAGGAACTGCTGGAGACCGCCAACCAGACCCTGCAGGCTGCTGACAGAGAAGACTTCCCTCAGGTGGGGTCATAGAATATACCCACAGGGTCCCCACATCAAGCTTACTTTGCCCAGGGAAGCTTGAATTTTACTGTTTATTTATTTTTTTAAATTTTTGTGTGGGGAGAGGTGCGTGCGTATCTGGGCTGGTCTCCCTCCTTGTGGGTCCCAGCTGGGAATGAACTTAGGTCATCAATTTTGCCTTTATCCACTAAGCCATCTCACTGGCCCATGAGTAACTTTCATAAGTATAGGGGCCCCATGCAATATTTAACATAAATATGTTTCCAAAATTGTTCAGTAAGGGGCTGGGCCTGGGGCTGGGACTGGGACTTACGTGAGCAGAGCACTTGTGGCTGTGAGCAGAACACTTGCCTAGCCTGCATGAGACCCGGGGTTCATACCCAGCATCACATAAACCACCCATGGTGGTGCACACCTGTCATCCCAGTAGTCAGGAGGCTGAGGCAGGAGGGTCTGGAGTTGAAGGCTATCTGCAGCTACATAATGAGTTACAACCCAGCCTGAACTATGTAAGATCCTGTCTCAAAAAGAAATATGAAGATTGCTCAGTGAATAAATATTTTGGTATAATTCGTGGCACCCAGTGGTTAGGTTATGGTGTCAAATATTTCATGGAACAGGCTTTTACCCTATCAGTCATTATTTTTTCCAAGATGTCCATTAACCTGGTCATTCTATATTTTGGTTTGTTAAATGTGCCAACTTGGGTTAGCAAGATAGCTCACTGAGTAAAGGGGCTTGCAGCCAATCTTGATGACTTGAGTTCCATCCCCAGGACCCACATGATGGAAGGAGAGAACCGATTCCCTCAAGTTGTCCTCTGAACTCCACCCAGGCATACATTAAATGTAATTCTAAAACTTAAAAATAAGTAAGTGTGCCTACTGTGTGCCCTAGGCACCCGGCCTGGGTTGGGTTGGGGCTGTCCTAATCTTTCTGCACGCATAGAAGGGGTTAGTTCACAGTCTCAGCCACTATGCCTCAGTTTCCTGCCTGCATTGTGGCCTTTGGGTCTGGGTGACACAAGTCTCTGATTTCTGCTCTGTCTTCTCCCTAGGCCGCCAAGCAAATCAAAGATGGGTAAGATGGGAGGCCAGGCCCTTACCCAGTGTCCTGCCCATGGTGTGAAGGTGGGGACACGGGACAGGGGTCCCCCTCGTTCCTCAGTCATCCCAGCTTAGTGTCCCCCATGGGACCGCTGCCATTGGAGTGCTCCTCCCCCTCCCTGCAGAGTGACCATGGCCCCCGCCTTCCGGCTGTCACTCAAAGCCAAAGTCAGCGACAACATGAGTCACCTGATGGTGGACTTCGCCCAGGAAAGGCGGATACTACAAGCTCTCAAGTTCCTGCCTGGTGAGCTGGGGTTCCCTGGGGGGGCCAGGTCAGCACCTGGGAGATAGGGCCTTGGGGGAGCCAAGAGCCCCACTCACACGGGTGGATCCGTGGACGAGCCCCGCCCAGACAGGGCGGAGCCCCGTGACTGACATTGCTGTGGGTGGAGCCTAAGTTCAGCCCCGCCCACACGTGGGGAAGGAGCTATGCCTGGGGGCGGAGTCACCAGAGCCCTGCCCAGGGTGCAGTAGAGGCCTGGGAAACTGCCCCCCTATGATTCTAGGGCACCCCACTTTCTATGGAGCTTTAAGGAGGATCACAGTGGGGTGGAATCTCCCAAAAAGGCACACCCTTTCTTGGTAAAATATTCTGGAAAGTTCGGCTCTGGCTGGTCTAATTATTTATTTTTTTTCCACAATGAATGTCAATTTTAATTATAAAACAAGAGTATGAACAAAGCATTTTAAAACGATCTTGCCAGGCCGGCGTGGTTGTCCGTGCCTGTAGTCCCAGCACTTGGGAGGCAGAGGCAGGCGGATCTTTGTGAGTTCAAGGACATAGTGAGTTCCAGGACAGCTGGGGCTATAGGGAGACCCTGCTTCAAAAAGACAAAAAAAAAAAAAAAAAAATCTTGCAGGGTGGGGTGGTGCACGCCTTTAATCCCAGCACTCAGGAGGCAGAGGCAGGCAGATCTCTGTGAGTTCAAGGCCAGCCTGGTCTACGTAGTGAGTTCCAGGACAGCTGGGGCTTCAGGGAGACCCTGTCTCAAAAAGACCAAAAAAATAAATAAATAAAAACAGTCATTTGGCAACTCATCATTGAAGAAACAAATCTCACCTAAAACTTTAATTTTATGAAAAATTGAAGTTGGATATTTTGTTTATTATGGGATTTAAAACATGTTTAAAAAGAACCTGGCAATAAAACCAGTTCTATCCTGAAGTAACTGTGTATGAAACAACATAAAATCCTTTAACTGAATAGACAGGAGTGACCTAATCATCACTGAACAAATATGGAGACGTGGCAGAGGCCTGGGATGGCAGGAGAGGGGGTGGGGGTGGGGTGGGGGGTTAGCAAGGGCAAAGCCCTGCAGGTGAAGGGTGTGGCTTTACCTGAACCAGAGTCACTTATGTTAGTGGGGCTGGTGGTAAAGTCACAGAGGCAAGAATAATCTAAAAACAAATTACATTCTTAAAAAAGTCATGACCGTTAACAGAAAAGAAGGAGATCCTTTCTTCAGCTAAACTACTTTACTTGGGTACGTGCGTGAAGTTCTGGGCTTCCTGCCAGGTCACACACAGACAGTTGCAGGGCAGGCAGGGTCCTAAAAACTCTTGTACTGATGTCTGCATAGCATTTAAAACCCTCTTTTTATTAAAAATAATAACAATAAAATAAACAGATATATAGTAAAGTTCACAGATGGGATTCTCTGTAAAATAAAGTGTTCATTGATTAGCATCATACACTGAGTAGAACACAACCTGTTTTACATGTTTCTGTACTATACACAGATCACCAGGAGGCAACCTGGCTCTGACCTGGCTGGTCTTATTTTAAAAATAATAACAATAAAATAAACAGATATATAGTAAAGTTCACAGATAGGATTCTCTGTAAAATAAAGTGTTCATTGATTAGCATCATACACTGAGTAGAACACAACCTGTTTTACATGTTTCTGTACTATACACAGATCACCAGGAGGCAACCTGGCTCTGACCTGGCTGGTCTTATTTTGAGAAGGCCCTAAGAGCCATCCCCCATCAGTGGCCCGCCAGGACACCCTACCCCTTGCCCTGGGCGCCTATCTTGTACTAGACAGAGCTGCCCCCCCAGCCTCTGACCCCCTCCCTGCTGTCCCCTCAGTGCCCAGTGCCCCTGTCATCGACCTGGCTGAGTCCCTGGTGGCAGATAACTGTGTGACCCTGGTGTGGCGCATGCCCAAGGAGGACAGGAAGATTGACCACTACGTGCTGGAGTACCGCAGGACCAACTTCGAGGGCCCGCCCCGCCTCAAGGAGGACCAGCCCTGGATGGTGGTCGAGGGCATCCGGCACACCGAGCACACCTTGACAGGTGGGGAGCACAGATGAGCATCTGGGGAAGAAATGCAGGCGGATGGGCACACAATGCTGTGACAGCTGAGGGAGCACTCCTTGGCAGGCAGGGAGCACTATGGGGCAGGTGAGGGAGCTCTCCCTGGCACTTGAGGGAGCTTTATGGGACAAGTGAGAGAGCACCGTGGCACATGTGAGGGAGCACTCCTGAGTGAATGAGCGAACACAAATGAGCAACTGGGGGAGCACACACAGGCAGGTGGGGAACGCATAGTGACAGCCAAGGGAGCACTCCTGGGCAGATGAGGGAGCGCTGAGGGGCAGGTGAGGGAGCAGTCCAAAGCAGGTCAGGGTGTACTCCCAGGCAGGCAGGGGAACATTTCTGAGTGAATGAGGAAGCACAGATGAGCAGCTGGGGAGCACGCGCAGGCAGGTGGGAAATAGAAACTGATAGCAGAAGGACCGATCCTTGACACGTGAAGGAGCACTACAAGGAAAGTAGGGAGTACTTATGGACAAGTGAGGGAGCACTCCCTGACAGGAGAAAAAGAACTTTTAGAAAAGTGGGCAAGCACCATGGGGCGGGTGAGAGAACGCTCATGTGCAGGTGGGGGAGCACAGCCTGGCAGGGAAAGGAGCACTCTCCAGAAGTCAAGGTTGGACTCCCCTTGTGGCACCATTTTGTTTTCAGGCAACCTGGGCCTGTTGATGCTAAGAGTTCCCCACAGCTCCAGGAGTCTGAGAGCAGGCTGGTGGGATCAGCACAGGACTCTCCACAGATTGGCTGGGGGTATTGGAGGTGGGTCTCACTGAACCTGGGACTCACTATCCAGCTGTCTGGCCAGCAAGTCTCAGGGAACCCTGTCTCTGCCTCCCTGGGGTCACAGGTGTGCAGAACCATGCCCAGCTTGCTCCAGGGAACCGCAAACCATCTTGACCCCTGGTGCTGGGTTCAAGGGCACCCCTTCAAGTATCCAGAGATTTCCTGGGCAAGTATAAGAAACAGAAAAGTCGAGGGTGTGGTTGGCATGCCTTGAATGCCACACTCAGGAGGCAGAGGCAGGGGGAACTCTGTGAGATTGAGGCCAGCCTGGGCTACATAGCCAATCCAGGCCAGGGAGACAATGTCAAGAGGGGAGGGGAAAGTAAAAGTCTGAAGGAATCCCCCCTCTGCTGGTGGGAGGTGGATCACAGATGGGAATAATTTGGGGGCTCTAATGCATTCACAAAGCCACTCTGAGCCAGGGAAACCCTAACTTTCCTCCACTCACTCCCTTAATCCCAGGCTGTAGTCAGCCTGCTAGTTATCTGTAATTAGCATGGATGGTTAATAATGAGCATGCTAATTAGCAGGGGAGCATCCATCCACCAGCCCAGAGCCCCAGAACTTACTGGCTTCTCCCCTGAACAGCTATCCAAATACACACACCCCTTTTTATGGAGTCCCAGAACCCTCCCTCCAGGCCTTCTCTCTGGTTTGGTTTTGTTGTGACTTTTAATCGGGGGTAATTACAAGATACACAAGAAGTTGCATGAAACCTAAATATCTCCTGAGGGCTCTTGTCCTCCTAACCTACCCTTGTTCAAAGTTTATCTAATAACTGTACAAATGGACAGGGACTGTAGCTCCATGGGTGGACTGCTTGTAGCTCAGTAGGCAGAGCTCTTGTAACTCAATACAGTGCCTGTAGCTCAGTGGGTACAGTGCTCACGGAGCACGCATGAAACCCTGGGTTCCATCCCCAGCACCTCATAAACCAGATGTGATGGTTCACAGCTGTCACCCCAGCACTCAGGAGGCAGGGGGATCAGGAGTTCAAGGTCATCCTGGGCTACATAGAGAACCTGTCTCAAAAAAAGCCCAGGGTCCAGCAATATGGCTCAGTGGGTAAAGGCACTTGCTGCTAAGCCCGATGACCTGAGTTTTATCACCCAGGAGATACTGGGTGAGAACTGACTCCCGCAAGCTGTCCTCTGACTCCCACATGCGCGCGCACGCGCACACACACACACACATAAATAAATAAATAGCCAGGCATGGTTGGCGCACGCCTTTCATCCCAGCACAAGAGGCAGAGGCAGGCGGATCTCTGGGAATTCAAGGCCAGCCTGGTCTACATCGTGAGTTCCAGGCCAGCTGGGGCTACAGGGAGACCCTGTCTCAAAAAGAAAAAAAAAAAAATAAAAAAATAAATAAATAGTAAATGCTATTAAAAACAAAACAGAATCCTGGATGAGTGGGAACTCTGTGGGTCTGACATACTCTCTTCTCACCTAGGTCTCAAATTTGATATGAAATACATGAACTTCCGGGTGAAAGCGTGTAACAAGGCAGTGGCAGGTGAATTCTCTGAGCCAGTGACCTTAGAGACACCAGGTGACTGTCTCCCACCCCTCCCTGTCCTTGACTCCATATCCTCTCAACCCCCTCTTTGGACCTTGGGACCCTATTTGTCATAAGAATCTTGTAATCAGGGTGACTGACTCTTGTTGCCCTGGCTGCCAGGAAGCTCACACCTCAGTCTTTCACTAATTCTCTTAACCTGAATGGTGGTATCTTCCTGCTTTTGTGTTTTGTTTCTGAGGGTGATTCCATAATACCTAGACAGATTTTATTTTATTTGTGTGGTTTTGTGGGTGTATATGGTGTGTGTGGGAATATGTGAATGCATGTGGACACCATCAACACTGGATGTTTTTCAGGCACCAAACTATACCTTGTCTTTGTTTTTGTTTGTATGTTTGAGACCTGGTCTGGAATTTGCTATGTAGCCCAGGGTGGCCTGGATCACACAGAGATCCTCCTGTCTCTGCATCCCAATTGCTGGGATTAAAGCCCTGCCACACTAGTTTCAGAAAATCTTTTATGTCCGGGCATGGTGGTGTACGCCTTTAGTCCTAGCACTTGGGAGGCAGGGGCAGGCAGAGCTCTGTGAGTTCAAGGGCAGCCTGGTCTACATAGTGAGTTCCAGGATAGCTGGGGCTACAGGGAGACCCTGCCTCAAGAAGACAAAAAAAAAATCTTTTATTAGATTTTTGGAAAAAGGCGGGGGGGTGGTCTTGCTAGGTAGCCCAGGCTAGACCTCATAATCTTCCTACTTCAGCTTCATGAGTGCTGGGCCTGCAAGCATAGATGGATGCCTCTGTCTCTCTCTCCCTCCTTATTTCTGTCCTTTCCTCTCCCTCCCTCAACAGCTATGTCCTCTACAGAATATGAGTCACAAAACCAGCTTGCACAGTTGCCCAGTCTCCCACAGCGACACTATAGTAGTCCTCCTGGGAAGTCCCTCCGCTGTCTAGCCTACTTCCATCCTGCTGTAGCTCTTCCTCTTCAGTGGCCAATCCACAGCAGAACCTTGGGGCAGAGAGATTCACTTGAAAATGTCTATTTGGGCAGCAGACCCTTGACTCTCATCTCTCTGGCCCATGTTTGGCTCCTCCCCCATCTCGTGTCTCCCTCTGTCCTCTGGTCTGTCCATCTCTCTGTGTCGCTTTGGGTTTTCCCATCTCTGTGACTCCTCCACCCCCCATCTGCCTTGCCCCAGCGTTCATGTTCCGCCTGGACGGGTCCACATCTCACCAGAACCTGCGGGTGGAAGGCCTATCCGTGGAGTGGGACGCCATGGGTGGGAAGATCCAGGATGTCAAGACCCGGGAGAAAGAGGGCAAAGGCCGGACTGCGTCCCCTGTCAACTCCCCAGCCAGGTAGCCCGTGTCCTTCACCCCGAGGCTCATGTCCATACACATCTGCCCAGTGTGGTCAGGACTGGGTTGTGCAGGGGGACCTGGGAGAGCACTATACACCTTCCTTGTAGAGCTGGTGAGTGGGGGCAAGGGGAGATTTTTTTTTTGGACAGGGCTTTCCTGTAGCCCCAGCTGACCTGGAACTGGCTATGTAGTCTAAGCTGGCCTCAATCTTAGAGATCCACCTGCCTCTGCCTCCTGGGGTTAAAGGTGTGCACCACCACACTCTGCTGCAAGGGGAGATTTTGAACAGAGTTTTGATGGTTGAATAGGAGTTGTTGCAACTCAGTGGGTTATGTGTTTCCCACCGATGTGGCTGGGGGACAAGGGAGGTTGCCCTGGAGGAAGGGGGAGCCTGAGCCGAGCCTTCTTGCTGCCCACAGGGGGACTCCGTCTCCCAAGAGGATGCCCTCAAGTCGTGGGGGACGGGACCGCTTCACGGCTGAGTCCTATACTGTTCTGGGTAAGGATGGGAGAGGAAGGGACCAGGGTGAAGGCAGGACTGTGTGGGTGACCCCCATGGAGAGGCACACCCCAGGCTCCATCTGGTCCCGCTACCCATCCCCCTGCCTCAGGAGACACGCCTATCGATGGCGGGGAGCAGTACTGGGAGGTTCGCTTTGAGCCAGACAGCAAGGCCTTCGGCCTGGGTGTGGCATACCGCAGCCTGGGCCGCTTCGAGCAGCTGGGCAAGACAGCTGCATCCTGGTGCGTCCACATCAACAACTGGCTGCAGGTCAGCTTCACCGCCAAGCACGCCAACAAGGTCAAGGCGCTGGACAGCCCTGTGCCCGACTGCCTGGGTGTTCACTGTGACTTCCACCAAGGTGACCCCTCTCTGCCCATCCTCCTGGCCCCTTGCCTGTTCCTCACCCCATCGCTGACACCCAGGCCTCTACTGTCCACCCAGGTCTCCTGTCTTTCTACAACGCCCGCACCAGACAACTGCTGCACACGTTCAAGGCCAGGTTTACACAGCCTCTGCTGCCTGCCTTCACTGTGAGCTGGTTGGACATGGGGTGGATGGGAAGGTCAGACAGAGGGGGTGATGGGGTGGATAAATGGAAGGATGGACAGGATGGATGGATGGGGTGGACGGATAGACGGGGAACAGGATGGACATAGGGATGGATGGATGAGGTAGAGAGATGAACAGGGTGATGGAGTAGACAAGGTGGATGAACGGACAGGGTGGATGGGTGAATGAATGACTGGACAGAGTGGACAGATGGACAGGATAGACCAGTGGACAGGGGAACTCTGGGTGCTGTGGCTCCTGTCTGAGCCCTCCTGTCCCCCGCTGTCCCTAGGTGTGGTGTGGGAGTTTCCAGGTGACCACAGGCCTGCAGGTCCCCAGCTCCGTCCGTTGTCTGCAGAAGACAGGCAGCACCACCAGTAGTTCCAACACCAGCCTCACCTGACCAGCTGGGCTGATGTGTGGGGCAGAGGAACCTCTGCCAGGCCCCAGCCGGTTCAGCCCGATGTCTCCTCTTAATTTGCTGCTCGGAGCCTTAAATCTAAAAGGGAGGGTCCCCAAGTGGGAGCAGGCACAGGGTGCCCCCTCCCCACCTCACTTCGTAATAAACATAAAACACTGGCCAAGCTGCTTCACTGGTTCTTCAGGAGCCTAGGGTCATCCTGGGACCCCAGCTCTCTTAGCTGTGAAACAGGCTCTCATTGTAGGGACAAGTGACAGGTTTTCCAGCTTGGGGCTAACACCTACCAGGGGCCCCTCAACTCCCCAAACCTCAGAAGTCACACCAGGGGGATAGAGAGATGGCCCAGCAGTTAAGAGCACTGGCTGCTCTTGCAGAGGACCTGGGTTCAGCTCCCAGCACCCACATGGCAGCTAACAACTGTCTGTAACTCCAGTTCTAAGGGATCCAATGCCCTCTCTGGCCCTTGTGGATTTTGTACATGTGTCACACACATACATACAGGCAAGCACTCATACACAAAATAAAGTAATGCCAGGCACAAACCCTGGATTCACTTGAAGTTTTTTTTTTTTTTCTTTATGAGACAAGGTCCTATGTAGCCTAAGCTATACTGGAACTTACTACGCAGCTCAGGCTGGCCTCAACACTCATGGAGACCTTACTGCCTCAGCCTTCTCAGTATAGGGATGACAAGTGTGTACCATCGTGCTGGGTATGTCCTGTCCCTTCAGTTGTTTTCCTTTGAGGACTCAGCTGGTATGCTGTATTGTATCCAGAGATAGCCCACTCGTCGACAGTGTGCCAGACTTAGTGCTCCAGTGCCCGCCTCTTCTGCAGTTTCTCCTCCAGCTCAGCAGTCACATCCCCCAACTCTGGTCAGATGGGAACCCAGACTTCAGCTAGGGAACCCCAAGCTATGCATCCCACGCCCAAGATCCAGTACAAAGGAAAAATGCATCTAAGGCTTTGGTAATTCCCAGACAGTAGGGGATTTGGGAATAGAGTGATATCACCACGTGGGGTCACACAGCCTGGAAGCCTGCCCTGCATCCAGCACCCATCCCTCCAAAAGTGCCCTTACTTGTCACGAGAGACAGAGCCTGGGGTGAGCTGATGCCTGGCTTCCTGGCCCAGACCCCTGTGATGGCTTTGAGATCTGCAGATAAAAATCAATGGGTTATCTAAGGCCACCTATCCCCAAGGACTGAGAGGAAGGGGAAAGAGTCCTACCTGGCTTGGGTACCACTGGTGGTTTTGGAGGCTTTACTGGAAGCTTCACCGCCTTCTTGTGCTTTGAACGGACCAGCGGAGTAGAGGGAGACACTGCATGGACGGTGGCCGGGTGTCACAGTGGGTTTCACTACCAGCCTGCTCCCCCCATTCATCTGCTGTCCTATCCCCCACTCACCATCCTGATTCATGTATTCAACTGCTGGGTGGTCTCCAATGGGAGTCACATAATTCTCATCCTGGTCTAGTAGCTGCGGGGGGAGTGGGGGCAGTCTGGCCTCCTGGCTGGACACAGGTGTGGGAACAGGTGGTAGGGGCTTGGGGACATTAGTAAGGGAGACAGAACCTGATGAGGAAAACCAAGTCTTGTCAGGGCCCAGGAGGCACAGGCCCCTCCGAGGGGTGCACCTGTGTGGGTCGACCTGTCAATCAATGTGTCTGCCTTTTGGGGTGCATGTGAGGTTGTGCACACGTGTTGTTTACATGACAGGAAGGACAGGACGTGCAGGGCTGCTACATGTACATGGGTGTATTTGAACCTCAGACAGAGGAACACAGGCGTTGGGGGTTCCCTGCATCTGTGAAGCGCCTGCAGTGGCCATGGTTAAGGCGGTCACCTGAGCACCAGGCAGGTGTGGCCCACACACTTTCTCCGTTCTCCTGGTCAGCGTCCACAAAAGCTGGAACAGAGAATGCAGGTGGCCTGGAGGAGATGCGCAGGAGCTGTCTGCCCCCCTCCCGAGTGTCCCTGTCCCAGACTGGGGGGTCCCCCACAGTTCCCTCAAATTGCACCCACCTAACACTTTCTCATAGTCCTCGTCCAGCAGGAAGGGAACCAGCGCCCTCTTGGTGTGGGTCACGAAATAATTGACCACAGCGTCCAGGGAGGAGCACGGGAACTGGAGGTGAGAATGGGGCGGGCTCAGGGTTGGTGGGGGAAGGATGGGCACCCCTGAGGGCGATCCCTGGGACGAGTGCTCACCGGATCCTCCACGTCAATCACGTACTTAGAACCCTGGAGCTTCACCTTGTAGTGCCGGACCACGGGCAACCTACGGGAGAGGGTGCTACGGATGGGCCGTCTTCGCCCAGGCAAGGTCTTGTCCGCAAGCTCCACCCCAACGGGACCACGCCCACCCATGTCCCCGCCCCAATGAAACCACGCAAATGAAGCCACGCCCCCAGCCAGTTCTTAACTGCTGGCTCCACCCACAACGAGGAACTGACTATATGGCCCTGCCCACACTCTTTGTGAATGGACTCGCTCAGGGTTCACTGCCACATTAAGACCGAACCAACGGACTCCACCCCTGTCCGGCCCCCAGAGCCTCCTCCTCTGACCCAGGACCGGGACCCCCACTGAGGTGCCGCCCTATCCTGCCCCGTCCCCTTCCCTAGCCCTGGCCTCGCTCTCCCTAGGAGGCCCCACCCCTGGCTCCTCCCTCCAGCCATGGCTCCGCCCCCAGGAAGGCCCTAACAGATTGACTCCACCCCCGGTGAGGCCCCACCCCTCGCTCGGGCTCCTCCCCTTTATGGAACACACTGCAGCCGCTCCCGCGGAGTCCCCCTCCACAGGAAGTCCCGCGCCCATCCTGACTCCACCTTCGATGTGGCTCCGCTCCAAACCTGGGATGTGCTAGGACTGAGGCAGGTCTTGAGTAGCCCCGTCGAGGCCCCGCCCCAGAACTGGCCCACCCACAGGTCCTTCCAGCCACTGACTGATTTTGACCTTCATATCTGCCTGGACCCCACCCTGGTGCTGAGCCACGAGCCACGCATATGCACCCGTTGAGTATCTGCCGCGTAGTGACCGACACCCCGTCTTTGCCCTCCCCGCTGGGCCGCAGCAGCAAGTTCCCACAGTCAGGGTAGCGCTCCAGGAGCAGCTGCGCCTCCAGACGGCTGACCCTCAGGAAGCACCTGTGGGGGGTGGGGTCATCAGACAGGTGAGATCCCAGAGACCCACCCCCAGACCCTCCCTCAGATCCACGTTCAGACCCTCCCCCAGACCTACGTCCAGACCCTCCCACAAGACCCATCCCCAAAACCTTCCCTCAGACCCTCCTGAGACCCATGCTCAGACCCTCACCCAAGACTCTCTTCCAGACCCTCTCCCAGATCCACCCCCAGAGCTTCCCCTGAGACCCTCCCCCAAGACCCTCCCATAGAGATCCAGCCTGCCCCCAGACCCTGATCCTGTATAGGGAGACCCAGCCCATCCGTTAGACTCAGGCCCCGCCCCCCCGACGCCCCTCCCAGCCATGTCCCCAGAGATCTAGCCCCTACCCTTATGCTGAAGTTCCACCCCTCTCATAGACACAGCCTCTTCCTTTAGACCCAGTGCCTTCTGTCAGACATCTAGCCACCTCTCCTAGACCCAGGCCCTGCCCCTACAGACTTAGCCCCGCCCCTTAGACATAGTCCCCTCCCAAGAGACCTAGGCGAGACCTAGGCACATTCCCATGATCCCCCCATGCTGGTAACCTGTCTCAGGCCGATTGCACCCCTCTCCACTCAACCCTCAGCCCTGGATCCCCATTGGTCCTCACACTGGGATGTCACAGTCCTGGGTAGCAGCCAGCACTCACCAGGGCACCTCCAGTGCTCGACGTGCCTCTTCTTTGGCTTGGACCTCGGCCATCATGTACAGGTGTCCAGGTAACAGGGTCAGGTTGGATGGGACACGGAGCTGACAGGTGATGGGGGCAGAGAATGCAGGTGCGGTACTGAATGGGCAGTTTACTCCTATGTCACAGATGGGTAAACTGAGGCCAACCTGGGGAACTAGGACGGAACCCCTGGAGCTCCAGAATCAAAGAAATAAATTCCAGAAGTTTGAAAACTGGGTGTGACAGCTACCTGTCATCCCAGAACTCAGGAGACTGAGGCAGGAGGATCAGGAATTCGAGGCCATCCTTGGCTACACAGAGAGTTGGAGGAGAGCCTGGGCTACCTGAGACCCTGTCCCAAAAATAATTACATAAATAAACAAGAAATGAAAAGTTGTAGCCTTCTCGTGGCAAAACAGAAGGTGTCTATGGGTTGTCCACAGCCCAGGATTTTCAGGATGAAAACTGTCTTGTGTTCTAGAAGTTTCTTTGGGAATGAAGGACTGGGGGAGGGGGGAAGGGATAGTGAGTCACAGATGTTACAGTGGCTAATCTCAGTATAGAGCCTGACAGGTTCTAAAATCATGATGGTAACAAACCTCTGGGCCTGTGTGTGAGGAAGTGCCCAGGCTGTGTTAACTGAAATGGAAAAATCCACCCGGAATTGTGGGTGTGGCACCATCCCTGGGCTGGGGAGTCAGAAATAAGAGGAGACCTTGAGCTGAGTACCAGCACACATCTCTCTCCACTTTCTGATGGCTGATGTGACCTGGACAGCATAGCTGCTGTGGCCTCACATTCCTGCTGCCCTTGAACTATGATCCGGGATAAAAATCTTCCTTTCCTTTAGGCCGTTTGTGTCAGGTATTTTGTCACAGTAAGAAGTCACTAACAGGGCTGGAGAGATGGCTCAGTGGTTAAGAGCACTGACTGCTCTTGCAGAGGACCTGGGTTCGAGTCCCAGCACCTACATGGTAGCTACAAACCGTCCTTAACTCCAGTTCCAGGAATCTGAAGCCCTCTTCTGATCTCCGTGGCATTGCACGACACGGGTGCACTCACACACATGCAGGCAATACACTCATACACATAAAATAAAAATAAATAAAATATTTAAAATAAAGAAGTCAGCTGGGTGTGATGGCACACACCTTTAATCCCAGCACTTGGGAGGCAGAGGCAGGCGGATCTCTGTGAGTTCAAGGCCAGCTTGGTCTACATAGTGAGTTCCAGGACAGCTGGGGCTACAGGGAGACCCTGTCTCAAAAAGAAAAAAAAATTTTAAAAATTTAAAAAAAGAAGTCACTAACAGCCAGGCGTGGTGGCACATGCCTTTAATCCTACCACTTGGGAGGTAGATGCAGGTAGATTTCTGTGAGTTCAAGGCCAACCTGGTCTACATATCCATTTCCAGGCCAGCTGGGTCTACAAGGAGACCCTGTCTCAAAAAGACCAAAAAAAAAAAAAAAAAAAAAAGTCACCAACACAGGGAGGGGCGTGGCCTCACCTCTACCACAGTCAAGATAAAGCCTTTCCACATCTCACGAGACTCTAGGCTTTCGGCCTGTGGGGAGAAAAAAGGTGAGTTCATGAGGCTTGCTCTACTCATCAAGGACACAGAAGAGGGACAAGGGCTCCATCCTGCTTTGGGGATTTGCACAGCCACGTCCCCTAACCCTCTACCCCAGGGCCTTTGCACAGCCCTGTCCTGTGTCCTGGGACCTTTGAACAAGTTGGCTCAGCTTACCAGCTGTTTCACAAACATCTTGAGGCTCAGAGAGGTTGAGGGATTTGCACAGCGTGACCAGTGCAGTTGAAGGGACTCTACATTTCTAGGTATGAATGTTGGGCAGAATACAGGAGTATCTCCCCAGAACCTTCTGACCTACCTTGAATTTGATCTCCTGGTCCCGGAGAACAAGGCTGAACTGACTGCTGGTGTCCAGTGCGTTGCCTCCAGGAGCCTCATCTGTGAGCTTTGAGAAGAGCCTCAGGTCCAGCTTCTCGAGTGGCTGGCACAGAGGGGCAGCAGGCTGAGTGCCAGGCGTGGCCTTCTCAGGTACCATGGGATGATGTGGCTACTCCTTTGGTGACATGGCCTCCACCCTCTGCTTGGCCCCTGTGGTCAAGTGAGGACCGGCCCCTGAGCCCCAACTCCAGTCCTTACCTGGAAGTCCCGATTGCTGTTGTAGAAATAGATGGTGAGACCCTGGAGGCCCGCCCAGAACTTCCTGTAATCCTGGGGGCCAGAGGAGAAAAGAGGGACTGGGGCAGCAAATTTGGATATGCTCATTGAACTCCCTCCTGCTGCTGGGCCTTTGCATGGTCTGTTCCCTGTGCCTGCATGCTGTTCCTCCATGTGTCTCCAAAGACATTTTCACAAAATATTGCCTTTTCTTTATTCATTTGTTCTTGGTTCCTTTCTTTCTTTCTTTCTTTCTTTCTTTCTTTCTTTCTTTCTTTCTTTCTTTCTTTCTTTCTTTCTTTCTTTCTTTCTTTTTTCGAGAAATGGTCTCATAGCTCAGGTTGGCCTTGTATTTGCTGTGTAGCTGAGAATAACTTTGATCCTCCTGAGCCACCACGCCAGGTTTATGTGGTGCTAGGGATGAACCCGGGATCTCATAGATGCTAGACAAGTGTACAATGTACAGAGCTACAAGCACTCTGCACACTGAGACATAGCCCCTAGCACTATGGTATCGTGGAGGGCCTTCCTACCTATGATCTATCCCTTGGGATTGCCTGTTTTCTAAGAAAAGGAGAAAAGAGACCCATCCATCAATCCATCCACCCATCCACCCACCCATCTATCTACCCACCCATCCACCATCCATTTATCCATCTACCCACCCATCCAATCATCCATCCATCCATCCATCCATCCATCCATCCATCCATCCACCCACCCATTCATCCACCCACCCATCTACCCATCCACCTATTCACCCATCCATTCACCCATCTAGCCACCCATCTATTCTCCCTCTCAGTCTGGCATGTAAGGGATCCTGTGACTGGGTCAGTCATGTGACACTGTGTGCTTTGTTAGGGGCCAGAGACAACATGAAGGTATTGGGTCTGGGAACCTGGTCCATCATTGGGCAGCACTCCTCAGTCATCCCAACCCTTGGGAAGCTGAGGCAGGAGGATTGCTTTGAGTTTGAGACTAGCCTGGGCTACAATGGTGAGACTGTCTCAACCAAACCATAACCAGCACATCCCTCTGGTATGTGCCCGCCCTCAGAGGTCACTGTCTGCACGTGTCACGTGCTCTGGCCTTGGACCTAGTGTCTCAAGTTCACAAGGTTAATTCTGGAATGGGAGGGCGAGAAGGCCAGCGTTGGAGGACAGTGTATTTCCTGCAGGAAGTTTCTAGTCTTACTTGTATCCAGAAGATGAAAAAAGTGGCTGTGATAGAAAGATTGAAACAGGGATGGAGGGAAGGAGAGACAGACAGCTGGCAGGCTGGCAGGCAGGAAAGGCATGAATCTGAGGAAGAAACACTGACACAGACAGAGAGATGGTCAGAACTTTCCAGAGCCCCCAGTGTGTGTCTTTTTCCTTCCCTCAGGGTCCTCTGTGGTCACCCAGCTGCCTCTAGAGAAAGCAGGGCTCAGAGAGGTTTGCGAGTTACTGGGGGCGGCGCAGCATGTCTGGCACCCTGCCCACCCCCCCTTACCTGGTCGCAGGGTCCCTTTTTCTCTAGAAAACTTTCGTAGTAGTGGGCCGGTGCTACACCCTTGGGCTTGGGGACCCGAGGTGGACTCAGGGCCGCCGCCATGGCAGCCCCAGGTCCCTCTCCTTCCAAGAGGGAGCCGGCGGCCTGGGTCAGGAAGGAGACAAACAGGTTCCTGGGCAGTTTCCTCAACTCAGTCAGCTGTCACCTCCCTCTCAGCCTGGGCGGGGGCTGATCCCGGGGAATCCCGGCAGCCCCAGGATCCATTCCCAGAGACAGGGACATGCTGTGCAGGAGGGTACATGGAAAAACCACAGGAGTATACAGCCATTGCATAATAGAGAGACCTGGAATGCTTGTAGGTCACCAGAACATTGCAGTATGTTTCTCTGGATACTCAAAAATATCTTATTGGAATTCTGATTAAAAATGGCTCTGAAGCCGGGTGTGGTGGCACAAGCCTTTAATCCTAGCAGTCTGGAGGCAGAGGCAGGTGGATCTGGGTGAGATCAAGGCCAGCCTGGGCTATGTAGTGAGTTCCAGGGCAGCTGGGGCTATAAGGAAACCCTGTCTCTAAAAACCAAAACTAACCAGACAAAACACCCCAAACGGCTGGGTCAACGTGGGGACAGAGGTCAGGTTTGCAACGCTATCCTCTGTCTTGCAGGCACTCTATTTTTAAATTAAATCGCTTTTGTTTTTATTGATTCACAGAGATTTGCCTCTGCCCCTGCCTCCTGAGTGCTGGGATCAAAGGCATGTGCCACCACACCTAGCTGCACTATTTTTTTAGATTTTGTTTGTGTGTGTGTGTGTGTGTGTGTGTGTGTGTGTGTGTGTGTGTACGTGTGGAGGTCAGAGGACAGCTCCGGGGAGTCGATTCTCTTCTTTGAATGTATGGATCCCAGGGATCAAACTCACATCCTCAGGATGGCTGCAAACTCTCTTACCCACTGAGCTCTCTCACCAGACCAACATTGAAATCTTTAATTTCCGACACCCATAATCTGTACTTTCCAATCAATGTCTTGAGCACAAAGTACTTATATCTAAGTAGTTGACTTATTTCACTTTATTTCTTTTGCTTTTTTGAGACAGAGTTTCATGTAATTCAGAGTATACTTGAACTCTTTACATACAGTATGATGATCCTGAATTTCTTTATTTCTTTCTTATTTTTCCATCTTTTTGAGACAGGGTCTCCCTGTAGCTTCAGGTGGCCTGGAAGTCACTATGTAGACCAACCTGGCCTCAAACTCACAGAGCTCCGCCTGCCTCTGCCTCCCTGAGTGCCCATGTGCTGGGATTAAAGGTGCGTGCCACCACACCCAGTTGATTCCCTCCACCCTACATCTGGTTTATGTAGAACTGAGAATCTAACCCCAGGCTTTTGGCATGTTAAAAGACTGCCCTTTCAACAGAGCCATGCCCCACCCCTCACTGGGGGATTCTAGGCTGTCATGCTGTATAACCCCTGAGTCTTGCCCCCAGGCCCTCACTAGAGGATTCTAAGCTGTCACTCTACCTCTGAGACACCACAGAGAGGGTAAGGGCATGGCTCAGAGGCTTAGCAAGTCCAAGGCTCAAAATTCAACTCTAGTATAATAAACAACAAATGTTTATAATTGTAAATTCAGTCAGTCATGGGGGTTCACGCATGTCATCCCAGCACCTCTGAGATGGAGGCAGTAGGGTCAGAAGTTCAACTCAGTAATTTGAGGCCAGACTGGGCTATATGAGACCCTGGCTCCACAGAGCAAAAACAGAAACACGCCCCAAAATTATAAATTCAATTCCTCAGTCTTGGGCTCAGCTGGCTGTATTTTACACAGGTAAAAAAATGAGCCAGCATGGTGGCTCACACCTTTGATCCCAGCACTCGGGAGGCAGAGGCAGGCGGATCTCTGTGAGTTCGAGGCCAGCCTGTTCTACATAGTGAGTTTTAGGCCAGGTGGGACTACAGGGAGACTCCATCTCAAAAAGACAAAAAAAAGAAAAAAAAAAAGGTCTGGTCTGGAGAGATGCTCAGTAGTTAAGAGCACTGACTGCTCTTGCACAGGGTCTGGGTTCAGATCCCAGCATCCACATGGTGGCTAACAACCGTCCGAAATTTCAGTTCCAGGGCATCCAACATTTTCTTCTGACCTCCATGGACATTGCACGACATGGGTGCACTTACATGCTTCCAGTCAATACACTCAAACATATAAAATAATAATAATTAAAAAATTTTTTAAAAAGACTGGTCTTTGCATTCCAGAGAACAACTGTTTGGTGTGTGCTGTCTCTCATCTGCTCCATTATCTAATGAAGCTCACAGCAGGGTCAACTATTCAGGGTGCCCTGCATGGACAAGCCACAGAGGTTAATTCAAACTGTCAAAGGCAACAGAAAACGGTGTATGGTGAGGCGCGCTTGGGAGCCCACCCTCCCAAAGCTGAGCCAGGATTGCTGTAGGTTTGAGGCCAACCTGGCCAATATAAACCTTGTGGGCTCCAGGCCACTCATAGGCTCCTGTTTCGGAACTTGAAGGGAGGGAGGGAGGATGGAGAGGTCATAGGGAGCCATGGAGTATCTAGACCAAGGCTTTCAGTACGTTTATAAAGATCCCTTTGGGTCCAGGGTGGAAGACAAGGAGGATGAGTGTGCACAGGGTGGAGCACGCACCCCGTTATGGTCAGTGTCCAGAGGGAGAAACTGAACATGAGGATTTGCAAGTTAGGACACAGATAGGCCTGGAAGATGGGCAAAGGACGTGGGATGAATAACCAGCTCTGTCTCTGTGGAGCTTGATGTTGGTGGCCGGGTTAGAGAAAATAATCCAAATTCAGATTTCCTGCTTGTAGGATATGACAGGTCTTGTCCCTCAGAGCATTTCAGAGACTTTTATTTCCTTTTCCCTTCAATAGGGCAAACCGCACCCACTGTGGGCGGCCATCCCGAGTGAGTCCCCGCCCCACGTTTTCAGGCCCCAGGGTTGGGGGTGTCTCTGGATGGACTTGGGGTGAAGGGCCAGGGGACAAAGGCCAGGACTGCCGCCCAATTCCCGTCGATGCACGGCGCACCCAGTTCCAACTGGGACGTGATTGGCTGGGTGGACCCAGCCGAAACAGCTGATTGGATGCCTGGAGTTGCGCATCCTCCTGATGACTGGCTGATGAGAACGGCTGTCCATTGGCTGAGCCAGGTCTGGTGCTATCTGGGAATCAACGTGATAAGAGGCTGGACCTTAACCCTGCAAATGCCAGAGCGGGGGCCTAGGCTATTTATTATTTATTTATTTATTTATTTATTTATTGTTTTTTAAATTTTTATTTATTATTTTTATTTTATGTGTATGCATGTATTGCCTGCATGTAGGTAAGTGCACCCGTGTCGTGCAATGCCTGCGAGGTCAGAAGAGGCTGTCGGATCCCCTGGGACTGGAGTTCAAGACAGTTGTTAGCTGCCATCTGGCTGCTGGAATTCGAACCCGGATCTTCTTCAAGAACAACCAGTGTTCTTATCCGCTGAGCCATCTCTCCAGCCCTAATTTTTGTTTTTCGACACAGGCTTCACCTGTATCCCCAGCTGGCCTGGAACTTGTCATGTAGCCTAGGCTGGCTCAATCTCACAGAGATCCTCCTGTCTCTGCCTTCCGAGAACAGGGGTCAAAGGCGTGCGCCCCCACGCAAACCTGTTTCTCCCCGTGTCCCTAGGGCCAATGGCTTTGATTCCTTCTATAGCGATGGCCGCAGACTGTTTTCCCATCATTTCAGCAGGCTGAGACACTCATGCACCCCTAATTCCAGGAGGCCCGTCTGGGGGAGGTGGCCTCGGGCGGGATCCCAAGTCCCCAGTGGTGAGGGTCTTGAGTCTCAGTTTCCGCCTCCAGGTCACCAGCTTCCTCTAGCCTCAATTCCCCTCTGGTTTCAGCAGGTTTAGACACTCCTGCGTCCCCACACTGCAAACAAACCAGGAGGCCGTGGCCTTGAGTGGGGTCCCTAGTCCCCCAGTCGTGGGGATCCTGGGCCTCAGTTTCTGCTCCAAGTCATAGCTCAGTTTCCCCAATGACTCGGAGCACTTTCTCTCTCCGGTGCTGGGGCAGCTCTGCGGCCTCAGTTTCCCCTCCGCCTCCACTGGGCCGCACCTCCCCTCCGCACATCTTCGCCGACCAATGGGCCGCGGCGTTGCGCGGGGTGGAGCCCGGGCGGGGGCGGAGCCAGGCCGGGCCCCGACGCAGCGGCTATGGCAGGTAGGAAGGGTCTGGAGGGCAGGCGGGCGCGGCGGGGCTTGCAGCCTCTCCAGCCTGTGGGTGTCCCCCGTGCAGCTCCCGAGCCGCTGTCCCCCGTGGGCGGCGCGGCCGAGGACGCTCCGGATGAGGACGAAGACGACGCGGAGGCGGAGGAGCCGGAGCCCGCGGCGGGCGCCGGCGGAGGGCGCAGCGGTAGCCTGGGTGGGCTCGGAGGCTGCGCGGCCGGGGTCGGGGTGGCCTTGGGGGGCGCGCTTACCAGGCGCGCGGTCACGCTGCGGGTGCTGCTGAAAGACGCGCTGCTGGAACCCGGAGTGGGAGTGCTGTGTATCTATTACCTGGTGAGCCCTCCCGAGACGCTTTGCTCGTTCCCTCAGGGGAAACTGAGGCACAGAGCATCCAATCTTGGACAGAGCCCTTCTGGGCGTGGCAACGCGGTTCCTTAGGTGCCCCATTCTACAAAGGAGAAAGTGAGGGTCAGAAAGGAGGAGTCCACGAGACGAAGGCCTCATAGGACCAACCACTGACACCTGGCAGTGTCCTCCAGCAGCTTCTCTGTGCTGTGGGAGTTTCTCTCCCGTGAAATAAGGGAGCCTTCCTCCCCAGCCCCTCACTGGGGATTCTAGGCTCTACCCCTGAGCCACAGCCCCATGTCCTCACTGAGGGATCCTAGGCTGTCATTCTGCCTCTGAATCAGGCCCTGTGCTCTTTTCCATTTAATCTGAGGTACAGTCTTGTTAAGCTGACCTGCCTGGCCTTACACTAGTGATGTTGCTGTCTCAGTCTGGTCCCCCATGTGTGTCTGGCTACCATTGATTATTTTTTTATTTTTACTTTAAGAGTACCGTTTTTTTTTAATTGAGCTTTTAAAATTTCATAGGTTTCCCACTCAAATCCAGACGCCCTCCCCCATCCATGCTTCCCCCTATCCCTATGCACTCCGCCATATGTGCTGATTCCTATTCATTCAGGTGTTTGTACCCAAATATCCTTCAGTGTAAATGCGTCCACTGGAGTCTAGTCATACTCTCCCTCACCCAGCAGCAATCAGTATCAAATAGTGCCCAATCTAGAGCTGGCCCACCACCTATTTCTCACCTCCCCTTTGGGCCCTTGTTTAATTGAGCTGACATGGGTCCTGCCGTGCTCAACATCACCCCTGCCACAGGCTCCCATGAACAAGCCTCCAGTGGCCTGGAAGTCGCCACCTCCCTATGTTCATGAACCAGCCCTGCCTCTTACAGTCTTTCCACCTCCTCTTCCACAATGGTCCCTGAGCCGTGGGTGGGTGAGGTTCCATATAGGAGTCCATCCTACACTCTAGAGTATCTTATTCTCCAGAACTTGGCCAGTTGTGGCCTTCTGTGTGCATCGCCCTCTGATGTACATGGAAGCCTCACTGGTAAGAGTTGAGGGGTGCATTAGCCCTCTCTCTACCCCTTATTCCACTATGTTCCATGAGCCTTAGTTGTAGAGATTCGACTGCAGGTGTGTCACCTGGTACTGGGCAACTCCCAGTTTGTTTGTTTATTTATTTATTTATTTATTTGAAACAAGGTCTCCCTATAGCTGCAGCTGGCTATGTAGGCCAGGATAGTCTCTATCTCACAGAGATCTGCCTGCCTCTGCCTTCCAGTGCTGGGATTAAAGGTCTGTGCCACCATGCCCAGCCCATTGCTTAATTCTTAAGCTATTCACCCCCTGTGTGTTGGGTACCAGGACACGGTAGATAAGGCAGATGGTGTGCCCATACTTAGGGGCTCAGTCCAATGAGAAAAGGGCTCCTGGAGCTAGAGAGGAACATGGGTGCCAACTCTCAGCGAGGGAGGGATTTGGAAGTGGGAGTGTGTGGGTTCAGCCCCCTGTTGCTGTAGGGGAAGAAATTCATCGGGGACCTACAGCCAGATGGCAGGATCGTGTGGCAAGAGACTGGGCAAGTGTTCAACTCGCCCAGTGCCTGGGCTACTCACTGCAAGAAACTGGTCAACCCAGCCAAGAAGTCTGGCTGTGGCTGGGCCTCCGTCAAGTACAAGGGACAGAAACTGGATAAGTACAAAGCTGCCTGGCTCCGACGGCATCAGCTCCATGTGCCAGTGGCTGCTGCTGAGGAGGTGTGAACTTGTAAGCCTTCCCCAGCCCCCCTGTGGGATGAGATGTGCACAGTCACACGCAGGTCCTCCAGGACCAAGAGATGGAGAGTGAGGGAGCCTATGCAACGGCCCCAGGGCAGAGGACAGGGCTCTGGGGGAAGACCTAGCTTGGTGTTTGGAGGAGCACTGAGGAGAGCCTGTGGGTGAATCAGAGGGAGCAAAAGAGAGGAGAGAGAGGGGAGGGACAGGTCAGGGTGGCCAGAGTCCTGTGGGCTGCAGGGAGGTTTTAGGCTTTGACCATGAGGGAGCTGTTGTGGGCAGAGGGAGGGAACAGGGTGAGCAGACAGTGTTAGCCTGGGGACCAGTAGTCCCCTTGGATGGTATTGCTGAGCCACGAAGTGGCCAGACCAAGTGGCCGAGGGGGCAAGAAGTGGAGGGTCCTGCATATTTTTGCTATGGGCTCTGACCAGGTTTAAGGGTGAATCAGATATTGGCGTCCTGACTTGGGGGATGAGCCAGTGTTAGAGATTAATGAGGGATGTGCAGATTTGGGGTGGTTAATTTGGCCATGTGGAGGGAGGGTGAGACCCAAAGAGGTCACTTAGGACAGAAGGATGAAAACCAGAGCTCAGAGATGTTAGGATGACCCCCTGTGGTCCCTGGCTTGTGCATGCACCTTAGGCAACTCAGATCATTGGTTCCCTCTCGTGGTCACTTTGTGAAATTGCACCTAGGGCTCAGGACTGGGCATTTGTGGGGTGGGACTGTGTGCAGGTTTGAGAGAGAGGCACCCTGCTGAGGGTCACCTCACTGCATCCCAACAGAGTCCTGCCAGCGAAGGGGAGGAGGAGGAGCTGATAGAGGATGAGGAGGAAGATGTGCTGGCTGGAGTCTCAGCAGAAGACAAGACTCGGAGACATCCCGGGAAGGGCCCCTTGGAGACTGTGCACCCAGGTGAGGGGTGCACTTTGATCTTCCCTAGCACCCTAGGAATCGTGATTGACAATCTAGCCTCGCTACCTAATTTCAGTCTCTGTCTGATTTCTTTTAAAAATATTATTTTTATTTTATAGTTATGAGTGTTTTGCCTGCATGCATGTAAGTGCACCTGTGTCACACAATGCTCATGGAGGGCAGAACAGGGCATCGGATTATTATTTTTTTGTGAGACACTGTCTCACTGTGCAGCCTTGGTAGCCTGGAACTTGCTATGTAGACCAGGATGGCCTAGAACTCAGACATCTGCCTGCCTCTGCATCCTAAGTGTAGAATCAAAGGATATCCCACCTGGCTAATTTGAAATATGTATTTATTGTGTGGGAGTTGAAAGGACGACTTATAGGAGTCAGTTCTCTCCTTCCATGAGATAGGTTCCAGGAATCCAACTCAGGTCGCCAGGCTTGGCAACGAGCCCCTTTGCCGGCTGGGCCATCTCACTGGTCTGTTTCCCTTATTTTTTGGGTATCTGTGCTGTTATCCAGAGAAGGGAGGGGAGGTATTCATACTGACTTTTTATCCTCCCCACCCCTTACCAGAGGCCACACCCCCGGGAAAGCCTGTGGACAGTAAAGTCCAAGTGCCAGTCCGATATTGCATGTTGGGCAGTCGGGACTCTGCCAGGTAAGATACGCCCGTCTGCCCCAGTCAGAGCTGTAGTGCTGGCTGGGGAGCTAGGTTATTTTGGACGAGGGCACGAGGGAAGAACCTGGGGGTTCCTAAAGCTTAGGGACCTTCCTGACTGTTTCAGGAACCCCCACACCTTGGTGGAAGTAACCAGCTTTGCAGCCATCAACAAATTCCAGCCATTCAATGTGGCCATTTCCAGTAATGTGCTGTTTCTTCTGGTATGTGAGCTCACTTTTCCTGCTCAACTTTCAGTGCCCAGGCTTGGGACGGGGCAGCCCAGGAATGAAGCTGTTTGGAATAGCAGCTCTGGAAAAAGACAGGGTAGGAAACTTGTCTGTTACTGGTGACAGTAGGCACTCCGTAAGTGTTTGCTACTGGTAAATAATAGGTGGCTCAATCTTATGTTTTTTGTGGTGTTGGGATAGAACCCAGGACCTTTGCACAGGGCAAGCGCTTACCACTGAGCTCCATTCCTGGCCCTCTGTAAAGTCTGCTACTGGTAAATAGTAGGCATTTAGTAAATGCACACAGGAGGGTGAGCTGGCTCCTGCATTGAGGCAGGAAGCACAGCCTGAGTCAGTTTCCTCCATCCTGTCCCCAGGACTTCCACAGCCACCTGACCCGGAGTGAGGTCGTGGGCTACCTCGGGGGCCGCTGGGACATCAACAGTCAGAGTGGGTATCCTGGGCTGGCCAGGCGGGCACGGGTTGTCAGGACCAGGACTCACATGGGTTTCTTGTCCATCTCCCCACAGTGCTCACAGTACTGCGTGCCTTTCCCTGTCGCTGCCGGCTGGGGGACGCCAACAGTGCAGCTGCTGTGGAAGAGGAGGTGAGGGGTTTGCTGGGAGGGGTGCTGTTGTTTTCTGTCCTGTCCTGATGGCAAGGACAGGACGGAGACCCCGGCTCTACGTTCCGTACCACAGAATCTCACTGTGCAGCCCAGCCTGGTCTAGAACTCCTGACCCTCCGTCTCTGCCTTCAGTGTTGCCTTCCTCCTCTTTAAAAAAAAAAAGAAAAACATTGAGGCCAGGCGCGGTGGCGCATGCCTGTAGTCCCAGCACTCGGGAGACAAAGGCAGGTGGAACTCTGTGAGTTCAAGGCCAGCCTGGTCTACATAGTGAGTTCCAGGACAGCTGGGGCTACA